CTAACTTTACAGGATAGCTTAAGAAATATTAGTTTTTAATACTTTTTTTGGTAATCTGTATTTCCGTTGTGCTGAGTTACATCTGTAGTCCTTAGATACTCATTGCTGGGTACAAACACTTATTCAATCCTTTTTAATTTGTCATAAATCAGGAGATGCATTCTAACAGATGAGAGTAAGAGCATACCAATAAAACATGTTGTACCTATGAGGTACAGTATTAGTATTCCTATTTTGCAGGTGTGAGGAAATGTGGATGTAAAGGGTTTGATACAGATTGCATAAACAGTTTGGTACAGGCTGGATATGCCCATGAGGATTGAGTACCAGGTCTCTATGTTTAAGTGCCCAACAGTGCTCAGATGTTGCAGGTGGCGGCTGCAGCTGATCCAAGTTGGGCTCCTTCAGCCTTGCACATTTTCACCCGTTGCTCCTGGCCCTAGGTTAGCATTATTGTCTGCCTTCCTCCAGACTCAACTGAGATCTGTTGTCTTACTTTTGAAGGTGGTTGGGATCATTGAAAACCCTTAGATCATTTCCAAGACGCGTTGGTTCTGTGAAATCTGATGATCTCTTTTGTTTTCCACTTGTTCTCATTCTGTGTGTTTTCAAATGCATTTTTCCCCTGCTTTCTTATTTTCCTGTGCTTTAAGTATGGAGACCTTGCATTATATATATTTACTGTTCTGAAATAAACATAATTTTTAGTATTTAAATAAAATGTTAGTGTGTGGCATAGGATAGCTTCCATAACAGCTGTTTGAAGTCATGAGAAGTTTGATTTGCCTGTAAATACAATTCCAAAGTAAAAAAACGGTTGTAACAAGTTACTTTTTTTTGCTGATTACTGAGGGAGAAGAGTTCAGAAAATGATATTTATCTTTCTAAAAAAAAAATCAAATTTTCAATAATGATGGCTGCTTAATAGCACATAAATTTTAATGGCTAATATGTGAATTAGATTACAAAAGTTTGGATGTATTAAATATTTTCCATTTAGTTGCAATAGTAAAATAATCAGTAAACCTTTCTTTGTCAGTCCTTGGAGTAATCGGAAGAAAGAAATTGGCAAACGTGATTCATTTAATTCCTATTTTTCAGCATTTGAGACCTGCGCATAGCAAAGCTGTCATGGAAGGAGACTGTGTGGTTTATACCATTTTGCTTTCTTAATGTTTCTGTGAGCTGACCTGAGTAGCACATGTTAGAATGAGATCATAAGGCATGATAGAAAGATATTTAATGAACGTATAGTATGTAAAATTGATGTGTGTGTTTGTCTTGGCACGTGTACATTGTGCCTTTGTATTGGAATACTAATGTTCTCTGTAGACTACCCAGGAAGTCTGTAATAAATATAAAGCATAGATATCCACTGAGTCACTGATATTTTGTAATAAATGCTTTATCTCCTTATGTGTACTAGAAACCATTAATGTCTTTTGATGATGTACTTACAGTACAATGCTCCTCCCTCCCTCTTTTTTTTTCAAACCAATGCCAGGATATCCAGGCGCTGATTTGTTTTCTAGTTTCTGAAAACCTTCAGTGCAAGTTTAAATAGCTTAACGTTTTTTTTGGTTTAGGAAAAAAAATAATAAAAATGTTATTTGTACATGTTTGTTTTAGAACAAATAACATCCTTCTGTGGCCTTGTGCGCCTCTAGAGGATCTGTTAATGGTACAACCACATAGGTCTGGTAATGATGTGGCTTTGGTTCCAGAATCATCAGCATTTTGACTTGGCTTTGTCAGGGAAAAAATGATCTCGCTCTGGTTCTTTCTGTTTTTTTGAATGTTTGGCTCAAATCTGACGTAGGATAGAATCTCAAAGATAATTAAGCCCCATGAGTTTTATGAGAATTGCTGCCTGGATAAGGAGGAGAGCCTTAGCAGTGACCTGAAATGAGAGGCACAAACTTCAGGGAGAGATCAGGTGTTGCTAGACCACTGGAGAGCCTGCGTGGGAGAGTGTCCGTGTAAAGGCCCAACCAGTGGGAAAAGCTTCAGCTGTAGCTTTCAGTCAACCATAAAACATAAATCCATAGGAAACCAAACTTCCTTAGTTCTTACTCTAAAGGAACTATTAATCAGTTGGTTATCAGAGTATTGAGAATAGATCTAATAGTGTTGAAACTGTTAGAAAAATGGAACATAAACTGTGGTACTTTTCCCGTCAGTGGGAAAAGTTTTGTGCAAAAAAGTCCTGAGATAGATTAGAGCTGTGTGTGGAAAAAGATCATTTCATCTAGAATTGAGGTTATGCTCCTGGGATCTGAGCTTTTTTTACTTAGAAATACCTGGCAGAGAGGCTGTTCTTAATAGATGATTTCCCAGCGTCTCTCCTGTTTTGTTAACCTGACAAAGCCGGAATTGGATGACATCTGACTGTCCTTAAATGTGGTTACTAGAAGGAGAAATCTCGAGACAAAAGTATTAATTTGTCCACTAGTGGCTAATTGTTGGGGAAACAGCTACTAGTTTGTGTATTGTGCAACATGAGACTTTGGTTAAATTGCAGTGACAGACTTGATTAATATTTTGAAAGGAAGTTTTCATAATGAATTAACTTTATGATTTCTTTCTGAAAAGACTAGTGAAACCTCTTTTATTTTTGACATTACACAATTTCAGGAGCATACTGTCTGGCCTGCTGTGTTGTAGATGAATTCTGCCTGAACTGTCAGGTTTAAAAGCTTCAGTTTCATTTGGCAGTTCCCATATTTTATAATGGATGAAATTGTGCAAATAATAGTTTGTTTTTTATTTTTTATTTTTTGTTTGTTTTTGAGATATTTAAGGAAGTGGCCATCTATACAAGCATCTGGTTTATTTGAAAATTTTTTTTGTTTATTTGTTTGTTTTTTTTTTTTTTACCTCTAAATGAAAGATGGCTGCTAGATAATAATCTCTTTCTGTTCTTGGGTGAGTGGTGTTAGCTGACAGCTAGCTGTCAAGCCAGGGATATTCCCGTTGTAATAAAATCTTAAGGAACTGCAGAAGCATTTTTCAAAGTTTCTGTTATTACCTGTTTCCATAAATATCTGTTAAGTTGTGAATTGTATATGGATTAATTAGTTCTCATATTGCTGGGCATCTGGAGGTCTCTAGTGGATTTTATTACATGATCCTAAGGACTTTATTTGAATGTTTTGTGGAGTGGACTGTGATGAGACAGTCTGTTTGCTATACATGCATGATCTCCAGGTATCAGAAATACCTAAAATGCTGGGTGCATTATTAGTGTTTTACCACTGTTGACCATTTACAGTCAAATTATTGGCTGAAAATCCTTAAGTGCAGCTACGATTTGGAATTCTCATTGGGTCTTTGAACTGAGAGAAATTATTTCTTGACCTTTTTCATTCCTTACAAAGAAACAACTAACAGCCTGGTACCAGGCAATTTTCTCACGCATTAACAGTATTGTTATTAGGACTCTGTTGCCTGCAATTAATTCACTGAAACTTTTCTGGGAGCTTATACATATATGCCTTTTCTACGTATATGTTAATGCATTGTTTTATGATTACCTGTAGTTGTTAATGAGTATAGCTTCCTGTTTTATGGAGGACCAAGACTTGTTAGACCTGAGTAGAGTTTTAGTTAGATTTTACAGTGGTGAATTTGCCTGGAAAGCGCTTTCACTAAAATCAAAATCTTCATGAACATGGCCACATGAGAATTGGGAAAGCAGTCATTCCATTGATTTAGAATAATACATAACTTGGACTGGGCTAGCATACAAAACTATTTGGGATGGTGCTTCTCTGCCCTGACTTTGGAAATCTTTGTGACAGTGTTCGTGGACTATCTTTGCTTGCTTTTATTTGGCAAAATACCGTGAAAAAAATGGAAAATCACGTGTTCTGCAGTATCTCATTAAGGATATTCAGTAGTGCAAAGCCTGACTGTTTTGAGGTGGTGTCTGTGGGATGTACTTGCTGGATGCTCTCTTCTGTCTTTGCTTTTCCTGGTAGTAATTACTATTGGAGATCTCACAGAAAAAATATCCAAAGGAATCTGATACTGAAGAGTCTTCTACAGCATTGATTACAACAAAGTACCTCTATCTTCTTTTTCTACTAGCTGTGGGAATTCATGCTTCCATTCTATATCTGAGAATCTTTCTGCATTACCAATAAATGCTTCAGTGTTTTAAAGGGAAATCTAATAGTTCCTGCTTAGTACCTGCAGTAATAGATAAGAATATGTAGTTGAACAGCAATGCATTTTCTGAGAAGTCTTTTTGTGTACTTTGGCATCTTTATATGAAACCTATCCCCCCCCTCCTTTTTTCCCCAACTTTTATTTACTCCATTCTTATTTTTCCCTTGGTGTTTTTGGTGGACAAATACAAATATTCCTTCTTTTTATTTTAATCAAAAAAGCCTGGAACAATTCTCAGCTTCTACAAAAATAAAGCATATCTTTGGAGCCATCAAAACTCTGGTGTTAGAAGTTAGTCTACTCTACCCCAGTGTTTTTCAGGTAAAAAATTTTAGTTATTTTCAATGTAGGATAGCAGAAAAGCTTAGACCACCTAGTGCACTATTCTTTGTGGTTGGAAAGCTTTTCTTGTTCTGTAGAAGAGAACATAAGACCCTGAATGTGAAACATCACTAATTCTACTGGAACAATTGTTCATGCCACCATGTGGTGAGGTAGTTAGAAATACTCTGGCTCACTAAATAAGCAAACGCAGGAACAGCTAAAGTTGGCAGTAGTGGAAAAAAATGCATGTGAAACCTACTGCTTGAGGAAATGCTGCCATATCACTTCTACTGTAATCTACCTAAAGGTAAACTGCCAAAAGAGATGACACTTCTGGCTCTGCTTTCAGGAATCATTTTACATGATAATACAAATGATGTAGGAGCACAATTCATTTATGTTCATTCATGGGTTTTTGAGCAGGATTTTCTGGAATACCACACAGGTGAATTAACCTTGTTGTTAATGACCAGTAACTTCATTTTGCATTTCTTGTTTTTCTACAGTACTGTGTGCAAAAAACTTGGTGAAAAAGGACTTTTTCCGTAAGTAGCTGTTAAAGTTTTATATGTTTATAGTTGGGATAAATATTATGCAAGCTCTGTAAATCCCTGTTTGCACATGTATTAGGATGGTTGCATTAGCATGGGTTGGGGGCTCTGAGGTTTTGGAACATTTTATTTCAGTGCTTTTAATTTCTTCTTAGGTGACACTCATGACATTCAGGATGGTAATTAAAAACAAAATACACTGTCTCCTTTCCTTGCTCCCCTCTGTTTTTGATGGGAGTGGGAAACAAATTTACTCTCGCACAAATGACATGCTTTTCAGCATTAATGCCTTGTACTTATTAAAATGTTTTTCATAAGAACTTTCTGTCCAGCAGACATAAGAACATCTCCATTATTAATGATCATGTCATAATACTTATGTACTCCAAAATTATATTTTAATAAGGGGGATGAAAGAGGCAGAAAGGAATGTTACTGGCCATGTGGGCATATCTGCACATATCACCTGCCTGCTGCCCTCCATTTGGAAGTAGGAGAATTCAAAAGATCAGACCTGAACTTTGAAAAACCTCGAAGAAGGATGACACAATTATATTGTAGCTTATGATGCTTACGAACCTTGCCTAATATCTGATTTTTTTGTTGTTGATCATAAGTTTTAGTTGTTGAACAGTTTAATAATGCCTAAAACCAACCCAACGTGCAATCTGTGCTGCAGTTTTGTACAGTTGGCAGCACATACCCAACAAGGTCCTGTCCTTCCCTGCCCCACATGTATTGCCTTTATCTCCACCTGCCTTGGCTGGCAGCAGCCTTAGGATGGTGGTGCTTGACTGGCTCTATCCTGAGTCACCCAAGGAAGCAGTGCTGGTGCAAACCTTACGCTGCAGAAAACGTCAATAATGTTTCACCACTGCAGCTGACTCACTGAGCATGCAGATGAGGACAAGAATTAGTATGAGGGCAAAAGGCATTAGTGGTGGGACCATCTCTTTCAGGGGCAGTTAAGAGCTTTGGACTGCAGTTGCAGTAGAGCTAATTATAGACTGCTGCACTGGTCCTGCTTCTTTCCCATCCTCAGCTGCGTAGTCCAGCACAAATTTTTTCATGGAGTTTTGTTAGCAACTGAGCCTGTTGTAAGTTTTTCTAAGGCACTAAGATAAGATAAAATGAAGTAGAAAACAAAGTAGACCTCAGAAGTGTGAATTGCTATAGGTAGTTTCCATTAATACAAGTAACTACTAAAATATCGATTACAATTAGCCTTAAAAAATGAAAGAATTCAGTTCTGTTTTCCAAGCCTTTTGCTGAATTCTCCATATACTGAAAACATACTCAATTCTGAATTAAGAAAATTAAGGTGTTTGGGGGCTTTATGGGAGGATCATCCACCCACCGCCTGCTCTAAACATTCAACTTAGTGATACAGACCAAGAAAAAGTTGTATGGAATAACTTGCTAATTTAGCCTTTTCCCATGCTTTATACATAATTTAATTCTGTTATAACCCATTCATGAAATATGACTCATAATAAAAGCCATCTTCAAATATATATTTTTAATTTTTTTGAAAGTGCAATGATTTAGGAGTCTAAAGCATTCTGATCTGTTTGCTAATTTTTTTTTTCTTTCCTTTCTCTTAGGACTTCCTGATCCATTTGCTAAAGTTGTGGTGGACGGATCTGGCCAATGCCATTCTACAGATACTGTGAAGAATACACTTGATCCAAAATGGAATCAGCATTATGACCTGTAGGTGGTAACAGTGATAGCCAAAGGTTTGAAGTACAATCCTCTAAAGTACACAGAAATTTTCCAATATTCATAATGCTGACCTATTTACAGCTTGGAAAATGTCCCAGAGTTTATTAGTTTGCATGAAAATTCCACTTTCTCATTTCCTTCAAAATGTAAACATGGTACTTGATTTTCTAGGGATGTCTGCAGCATGCCTTATGTGTACTAAAGCATTATTTTATTGCAATATTTTCATACTGACACCTCTCTAAAATGAAATAAGTAATTGACAGTATTTCTCTCAGACTGTTCTTCAATTGATGTTCTGGTCTCGTAGTATTACAGTGTCTTTCTGTCAGTCTGCCTCGACAGTTTTTTCTCTTTTATATCATTTTCTGTCTCAAATGTTCTTTCACTCTAAATTCTTGTGTCACGATCTCTCGATCATCTTTCAGTGCTGTTGAGCAATATAATCAGTATAGCATGTATATGTCATGTTTTTCCTTCGTTTTTCTAAAGCATAAAATATTCCATACAATATGATTGTTAAAGCTTTCATTTTTTTATGTAGGTTTCTCTGTGTTCATCCATGATTTATTTTCCCTGTCCATTTATCCTTGTATCTTTCTATTTTTCCTTGGTACAAAAGATGAGGAAAAGAAGTGAACAGTTTCACCTCATTGTGTCCTTCTTTCTTTCTAAGGCATTGTTCAGATCTATTTTTTTTCCTTACATCGCTCCGTTCTGTATTTATATTAGAAATTGTTTGAGCATATTTATATGAAGGGTTTATACAGTGGTAACCCAGTTTCGTAGTACAGCAACATATCTGTTTTAAAGGTTAGCTTTGGACATCAGCAAACCTATGTTAAATCAAGTATTAGTACACAGGGAATTGCCTGTCCCTGTTTTTCCCAATGGAGAGAAGCAGCTTGATAGGTCTTTCAGCAGAATGTGGAAGACTGCAGTTGAGCATCCAAGACTAAATGGGTGAAGTCACTTCTCCTAATTCAGTGCAGGACACAAAACATTTTCATTAGTACTAAACAAAATACCATTGGCAGTTTAGTGGAATAACAGAACTTTCACTGAGGAAAGCTCTGAATTATATCTTTATTGTTGAAACTCACTCCAATATTGGATTTTGAATGAGACCATAACTCAGATTGATCAGAAAAATGGATTTATAAAATCAGTTTAAGATCACATAAGTCATGGTTCTTTTTCATAAAGACTTCTAAGTTACTTTGTTTTTATATGTTGCTAAACCTCTTAAACCTCTTTTTATGTGTTACTAAACCTAAATGCTGATTTGTATAGAATTTACCTGAAGACATATGCATGCAGATTTCAGACCTCTGTCCTGCCACACCCTCTCCAAGACTGGCCATCCATTTGTGAAGATTTAGCTTGAGCTTTTTCAACAGTAGTTAACAGTCTGCACAGTGACTTTTATTTACGGTGAATTTCTAGAGTAGATTGCCCTGATCTTGCAGCCTGCTGCCCCCTGTATTGGAAGGCTTTTTTTCTGTCCCTTTTCACCTTCTTTCCCAATTTACTGCATATGCGCATGCAGCATCCCTTGCACTGGCTCTGTCTGACTTCTGGGTAAATGGATTCAATTTACGTAACCCCCAAGAAGGCAGTTGGATGGGGGAAGTTGTGTGTATAATTTTTTGCCAATTAAACCAGCTGTGTTGGGTCAGCAGCAGTGTGTTTGTGCTACTGTATTAACTTGCATCAGGAGCAAATTCTTGAGGTAAATCTCTCGGTCATCTCCACTTGCTGTGCTTTGGCTTCCAGCATCAAGCATCTCTGCACTGGATCTCCCTGGATGAAGCTGAACCACAAGCTGCATTCCTTGACTGTCACTGATGGTCTGCTGCTCACAGGAGCTGGAGTCAACAGAATCATACTAAATCTAGTCTAAAGAAAAATCACCGAAAAACGAGCATATGCTTTTATTGTTGTTTAGCTAGGTGGGCCCATTAATGAGTATTAATGCATAGCTTTACAGGGTTAAAAGGAGAGTAAGATGGAAAGGAAAGTGCTGTCAATATGATGGAGTCTTTATGTGTAAAGCCTTCCTGTAACCTCTGGACAGCTTGTGAAGGGTTGCTTGCAAAGGAGGAATGATGGACCTTAATTCTGTGGTTATCTGCTGCTAAGTTCTATGTTGAAACTGTCAGCAGTTCCCCACTTCTCCCGCAGTATCTGCCAGCTGTTACTTCATGTTTGAAGTGCTGTGGTAGCAATGCCAATGAGCAGTTGACAGGAATGGGTTATGAGGGCTTTTAAATGCTCCACATTCTCATGATTTGGAGACTTGGGTACCTTTTAGAAAGGAGGAGGAGCAGAGGACGTGGGAAACAAGGGAGGATGTTAATATGCAATGACAGTAATGGAAAAGATAGTAAAATCTTTTGGAAAAAAATCCTTTCTGGTTATAATTTTCAAGGAAAGATGAATAGAAGGTATTTTTACATTGTTTTATAGAACAAATCATACTTGTAACTGAATACTGTAGTTGTCTTAGCTTTGAAGCAAGACTGATTGTATCGTTTTACACAAAACAGATAGAATAGGGGATTCTGGCAGAAAATTTTGTTGAGGCAGATTTGGGGGTATCTCAGTGTCTCAGCATGTAAAATTAATTGCATGTTACTTAAAATGATCATTTTTTCATAAAGGTTCTTAGACCTTCTTTTCATTCTTCACGAGTGTTCTGACTCATTTGTGTTTTTGTTCAGGGAGACTGGGGATAAATTGCTTTTAATCAGATACAGATCTCTTTCACTATACCTAGCTTGTATTTTTATGAGATTTGGGGGATGGAGGTCTTGATGGATTGTCATAAGGAATTTGCACCTGTGCAAAACTTTCCTTTTTAAGGAAGAGTATCCATAATAAAAAACTACATTTTCCTAATTTAGGATGTTATTTTCAATATAAGTTATCTGATCTCTAGGGATAACTACTGTGCTTGATTCCAGCAGCTGAATTTCTTAATGACACGGAAGTATACAGAGCATTTCTAATCGAAACTACAATTCAGTGTTCTGGCAAGCCTTGTAATTTTCAAATAAGCCCCTCCTTCTCAAAATTTTCTTTATTATCGTTTATCCCATCTTATTGTCTTACCTGTCATTCCTTGCTTAACTCTATGGAAATGTATTTCCATTTATAAGCACCAGTTCCCTAATCTTCAATTCCTATTTGAAACAGCAAGAGACGATCACTTGTCTTTAATACAACAATCTGTCTGCCAGTCACTGTTTGGCTTTTATTTTAGGATAACGTTTTACTGTAACATACCTAGTGTCAGGTCTCAAGTGAACTTATTATCTGAACCAAATAATAAGATAACGAACTTTTCCTTCTGGAGAGAAAAAAAAAAAAAGTAATAGTTACCATCCTACTGCTAAACACCTGATGGCAGACCTCATAGCCTACAGACTTAATATTCCCTTTCTTTGAAAATAATCATATATTTTACAACTTTTACAACTTTGTAATATTTACCCTAACAACACACCATTGCATGGGAACACTAGCCTGACTTACGACACTTCCACTCTTACAGGAAATACTTCGCCCACCAAGCATAACCGATAGAGTCTCGGTGGCAGAATGCCTGCTTGCTGCTGTCACCACAAAGTGTAGGAAATCCACCAAAGGAAGGGGAGTTATATAGATTTAATTGCCTTTTTTTTTTTTCCAACCATGAAGAATTTTGCTGTTCTTTAATAGATTGTAATAGACTTATGTGCAGGAAAACTGTCTCTTAGCCATGTTGGACTGATTGAAGTGTCCCCAGTCTAGGAATTGTTTCACAGGCTAACACTGTGGCTAATTAATCTTGTGTATCATGTAAATGGCACAGTAAGATGGATCTGTTGTGGTATATTTACAGGATAATGTCTGAGTTAGGTGGCTAATTCAAAGAGAATTTTTGTTTTGTTAACCTGATTCAGCATAATAGATACTCTGTATAAGATTTTAAAAAATATGTATTTCTGTGGTGTTGTAAAGAACAAAAAAGGGTTTGTTTTTGCCTTACGTGGCCCTTAATTCAGATTTTAGTGTGAAAGGAAGCAGCTGAATTAGTTGCTTAGATTCTTCAGTCTAGATGGGTATGTGTACAGGGGGAAATCTGGGAGGCTGTCCAGAAAGAGATTGCCAAATAGTTGCTGTCTGGATGCAGTTTAATGTCAGTAAAATACCATGCTTGCCCTGGATGTATTCCCCTTCCTTATTTTCAGTCTTGTTTGTGTTTTCCCTGTTGTTCAGGCCTTTGCTCAAAGCTTTGGATAACCAGACTTAATGAATTTACAGGTCTTCTTGCTTCCAAAGCATTTAACCACTGTCTAAACCAGTAGTTTAGAAACTTACTAAATAGCCTTTTTCTCTTCCTTCCCCTTTCTTCCTTTCTGTCATAGTGTTGATCTCTCCTACAGCCTTCCCACGCTCACCTGTGCTCTCTAGCCTGTTCTAGCCCTCCCTCCCAGCCTCTGCCTTTAAGGTATAGCAAGTCGTAACATCTATTTACCTCTTAAAGGATCTGAAATCTCCACCGAAACCTAGTTCCTGGTCCCATCTTTACTCTGTGACCTGCCAATCTGCACCCCCAGGCTCCAGGAAGGACCCATGGCTTTACTTCCTTGTTATGCCTCTCAGATGCAATTGGTTTGCTGTAACCTCACCCAGCTTCTGCGGCTTCCCAAAATCTCCTCGCTGCAGGTTCTAGTGCTGTGTGGTGCCTTTGCCTTCTCAAGCCACTACAGTGCCCTGGCAGAATCACCACACTTCCCTACCGTCCAACTTTGCTTTGCAGCTGCTTAGTTATTGCTAACGATCCTAGATTTTACAGTGTCTTTTAGGTTTAATTTGGGCTGGGAAGTACTGGGGAGGAGAATGGAGCAGCCAGCCAGTGCCACATGTGTGTGCTGTATTCCTGTGTTAAGCCACAGCCCCTGGCTTGGTGCTCTTTTCATCATCCTGCAGACTCAAAATACCCCTCAGCTACTCCCAGAGATGAGAGCTATGTCAGGGTGGGGAGAAGAGGAAAAAATGGGGATGATATTTTTTGTTCTGCTTCCTTCTTCTCTAGTCTGAAAACAGCTGATACCTCAAAGCATAACACTACCATTATATTGAATATATATATGCATATATATGCATATATATACATATATATATATATATATTCAATATATAAATAGGAAAATGGAGAAACGAACTAAATAAATTGTCCAGGTCGTAAAAAAGAGTCTATGTGACAGCATGGATTAGAAATAGGGAATTCCTGGCTTCCAAGCCTGAGTTCATACCTCTTGATGTTGCATTTTTCTCTTTCTGGAGGGAGTACATCTGGCTTGTGATCAGGAAGAGATGTGTTTTTTCAGCGGTAATTTTTTTCCACTTTCTTCATTCTGCTTTTCTACCAAGCTGAACTCTTCAGGGAAAATGTGTATAATGCCATGGGGCTGAAAAGTTGCTCGATACCAAACCTTCCTGAGTGTGATATAGTGGATCAGAAGGCAATACTACCCTAGCAAAGATGACAAATTAACAATTGTCTCTATGTTTTAAAATTTGATTAAAATATTTCAGAGTTTTCCAGTATTGCATTTACTTGATTTTTGTCTAGAAGTGAAAGTGCTAAGAATAGGCAGTTTTCATAAAATTTCCAAACACGCAATTCTTATCCAAAGCCCTAATTTTACAGATTCAGGAAATACAGGAAAATAGACCAGATGCTCTGCAGTTAAAAAATGTATATGGAAATTGAATTTCCAGGTTTCCACTTCGCTAATCCTATTATCTTTGTTGAAGGATTTAAGCTGTAAAATAGATACTGCTGATGGGATTGAGTTTAAAAAATAAAAATAATAATAAAAAAGAACCTCCAAGAACTTGAATAAGTAGTGTAAGGAGGAAGAAAGAAGCATCCAATAAAATGAAATTGTTTATTTTAACTTATTCACTTTAATTTTTGGAACATTCTTTTTTAATAACAAGTAAAATTCCTAGCTAAGCTTTTATGTTGGAACTTTATTGCCAGATGATGTAAAACAAATGTAACTTATCCACCAAACGAATTGGAAATGTCAACTTGTCCTACCATCACTCTCTAAATGCAACCATATATTTTCATGCCTGAAATTATGCAGAAATATAGATGAAGCATTTCACTGTAAAGCCAACTAGCAGTTACTGAACTATTTATTTTCTTCCTTTGGTTTAAGAAAAAAACAAAAAAGGACATTTTCATTTTGAAAACTCAGCATCTTGCTTATTTCCTTTAAAAATGTGAATTAGCCAGTTTTTCAGGTGCAAAAACCAGAGTAGGCTCTAGTAGTTCTGTAGAAATCTTCACCTGTTTGGTACGGATGGCTTGCTGTCTGTAGCTCAACCATGAGCACCTCACCCTGAAATGTTACAGTAATTCTTGGAAACTGTGTTGTATATTCAGCTGTTCTACATATTATTCAAACTGTTCTGTTATGAAATTGTGTTTAACCATATACCTTTGACTTTTTTAAAGCAACAAGGAAAACTGGAAAATTCAAGACAGGTCATGATAAGTCTTTATTTTTAAGTGCACCTAACTTGTTCTCCATAAGAATTTCTTTTAAGTACATGAAACATTGTAGACTGCAACTGTGCACGTGAATACCCATCTTCATCTCTTGTTTCTCTATGCAAAATTGGCATTGTCAAGGTTGTAAGGCCAGAAATCTTACATATCTTATGTAATCAGCTTACTATTCCAAAAACCTTGGATTTTGTTTAAGCTATTATTTTATTTTATAAATTGTGCACTGGTTATTTTAAACTAAACTCATGTATGTGCCTATAGTTAGTCTTTTCTGTCTCCTACTTCTTGGATCGGTCCCTGTCTGTAGGTGATTAAAAAAAAAAAAGTTGTCAAAGTTCTGCTTTGGGTTTTATACAATAAAGGAAAAAAGGGAGAAGTGTTAATTGAGAGCTTATGTGATCGGAAATGCAATTTTAAACTATGAGTGCTAGTTCAATTGCTTGGTTTGCCAACCTTGACAGTATCATTTGTACCTTTATGAAAATATTAAGGTGTTTTAAAGCCAGTAAAGCCTTCGTCAGCGAGGGAAAAGTATATAGAAATTAATTGAACTGTTTGATTAGTTTTTCTTCAAAATGAAACAAAAAAACTCTTGGAACTAAATTACAGAAGGCCAGAATCTGTGATCTGGGAATGGAGGACTACAAACGGTTCTCAGGCCCCAAGCCTTAATTACAAATTAATTTTCCTCAACTTGAAATAACTATATTATTCAATGTTGGCATTGGCTGACGTATCTTAGATGCTTTGAAATTGTCCTCTGAAAATCAAAACTAGCTCACAAAGTAATTGCTTCTGACGAGCAAAACTTGAAGCAATAAAGTAAAAATATAATAGCCTATAGTGTCCATGTTCCCTGAAGTTGGTGAGATGCAGATCTAGGCTTTGCAGTGTATTCACATGGTAATGCTGACAGGACATGATTCCCATTTCAGCAGGGGGTAGGAAGGGAACATGGCACTTCCCAACAGGTATGGCATGAACTTTTTGAAATGAGTCACACTTGTAATGTAATGTATTTTTCAAACTGGGCCTTTCTTGAGCTTTCTTAGTACTAAACTAGCTTCCCAAAGGTTCATTAACTGCAGGTGTGTAAATAGCTTTACCTTCTGGTTCCCTTGAGCGCTTAAAAGAGCATGGAAACTAGGGTGAGTTGCATTCCCAGTGCTTGGAAGAGTAGCCTGAAAAGAAGCAACAGATGGAGTGCTGCAAAAGGATGCTAAACTATTATTTTCTGCCCTGGCATTTGAAGTGCTCTGCCTGCTAGCGCTGCTAATAACTACATCTTCCACAAGCATCGCCATTATTTTCAGTTAGGCTGAACATAGGCATGAATCAAAGCATGCTTACAGCCTTGAAGAGATGTGTTCGCCTGGGACAGTCCAGAGTCTGTTAATGCTACTGTTTTAAACAGATATTGGTAGCCTTCTTCCATAAGTGGGATTTTAGATTACTTTGTATTCAAGTAAATTCCTTCATAAGATGTACTTTCACTAAATGTGTACATTATCTGTGCAGATGAGTTGTGCTCTCTTGCAGTATGTTCAATTTTTAATGTAATGGTTGATGATCTTTTTTTTTCCTTAAGGTGATTTCTGGAGCATCTTCAAAGTATTCAATGAGTGCCACTCACAGTACTATTCTTCACGTTTTTCAGATATATTGGGAAGTCAGATTCAATAACAATCAGCGTGTGGAATCACAAGAAAATTCATAAAAAGCAGGGAGCTGGTTTTCTGGGTTGTGTGAGACTTCTTTCAAACGCAATCAACCGCCTTAAAGACACTGGTTGTAAGTAAGCTCAACACTACTGTTTCATCTCTTTCAGACCTCTTTTATGCACAGAATTGTTGAAGATTGACACATAATTGAGTTGTTGTTGTTGTTGTTTTATGAAGCTTGTATATTCCAATTGGTTTGGTAGTTTATAGCAGTGCTTTGTGGCAGAGGGTAGGTAGGATGGGCAGGTCAGAGAACATAACTTGCCTTTGGCTTTTCAATTCTCTTGGCCCCGTTCCTGTAGAGAGTGGTAACTTCAGTGCAGCAGTCTGCTTGCAGATTGTCAAGACTGAACTTAAATGTGTTGGAATTTTAAAGGAAGACAGATTCAGGTTACCTTCAAAAATAGGTGCATTAAGAGGTAGATGAAAAGGTAAGCATCTCTTGAAGTAAAAGTTACATTTTAAAATGTCTGGGTCTTCAAAAGTAACTTAGTAAGTTTTGTCATAAAAGGTTAAGTGCTTTATAACACAGCTCTTTCTATTTACTCCTGAAAAAATTAACATGTACGATGAAGTTTTCTTGTTATCCTAATTGGTGCCATTTACAGTGATCAGTCACAATGCACACCTACTTCTGAACAAAATTTGGCACACCATTTGTGATGGGAAATTGGTGGTTGCCAATAAAGATCACTTTAAAAAAAAGTAACCTGCTGGCAGAGAAGCATTCTGATTCTATTTCAAGTAACAGGCTCCCTGGTGACAATCATAAATGAAATTCTCATTTTTAAATATTTGTTACTAGATAAACGTTTCAGTGCATTACATGTTGCTTGGTTTTATGAAGTTCTATGTACATAGTGTGGAACAAATTCTTTAGGCTAGGTCTGCGCTGTACCGGTATGAGATGACATATAGGGATGGCAGTGGCATATCACAAGGGGTGAGAGTTCAAGTTGCTTTTGGAGAGTCATTTGAGCCATCTAAACTAGCATAATGTAAACTTCTGTCAACTGATGGAGCTTCATATAGTAGGAAGAAAACGTACTTTAATCTTTTTTTCTGTTTCGGAATTACAGAAGATGATGTCTTTTGATCTTTAATTTTCTTTCCCTGCTTCCTCCCCTTTGCTCCCCCCATATCTTGAAGTCTTAAGTATTTTATGCTAGGATGAATTTTGTTCTGATGGTACTTCAGCCTGTATTTCAAAAGCAGCAAAATGTTGTATGATTTATACTTTTTTCTTTGTTCTATAGATCAGAGATTGGATCTGTGCAAACTTGGGCCAAATGATAATGATACTGTTAGAGGACAGATAGTAGGTAAGTAGGTAAAAGTAGGCTTTTAATCTTTTAGTTCACTTAGAGCTTAAAAGTAGCTGTGGAAATACACTACCTAGAAATCAATTTTTTTAAATTCAGTGTCTAGTGCCAAAACCATTGACCTCAAGACAAAAGTGTGTGTATGTATAAAATTATAACTGTTGGGATAGTTAAGACCATACACATATAATACAAAATGTATTTAGAAAGTGTTGAATTTCACTCTAAACAATGGTGGCAGTTCAAGCCTGAAGCCCCTGTGGAAATACTGAGTACAAATGTCGTGGCCATTGAGAGTTCCAGTAAAGCTGTGGTTCCTGTAGGTTTTGTGCAAGGATAGAACATCTTGTTGTAACAGGAGAGTATTTTTAAAATGGTCAGTTCATTTAGGGTTATTAAGAGGCCTGTCACCGGTCTTGGTAACTGTGCTTTGTTGTTGTGCTACTTCATAAACGTTAAATAATTATATTTTAAAAAACAAACAAACAAAAAACTTCTTCAAGCTGGCAAATTGAAAAATAAGCATCCCACAAATAACTTCATAAACCTCCTTTTGGTGCATTGTTGGTTGTTTCAGAGGACAGTGTTTCAAACAGGTAATGTAAGATGTCAAAAAGATGTGGATCGGGATAAGAAGTCTATATTTAAGGCAAGGTGTTAAGAGTCTTTGGAGACGGGAGTTTAAAAAGTGAGTTTGTATGTTCAGTATTTAGTTCAATTCTTATTTCAAATAGTATCCAGGCATCATCCTTATTTAGTCAAACAGAGAAAGCTATTGAAAAAACAATTGGCAAATAGGGGCTTCATTTTGTATATCTTTGTTTTCCTCAAAGTCCTGTTGGTTAATATCTAAGACTTTCTCTCTTCATGTTGCTTTCATCATCTGTCTAGCATCCGATCTGCAAGTGTTTGCACAGTGTTCACATAAGAGTAAGGTGGCAGAATAGGATCAAATGATGATAGAAATGTGGAACTGTAAGTGCACTGCTGACGCTTCCAGACCATTCTTGAACATTAAATTTTCCATTTGAGCTTGCACAGAGGAATAAAGAATAAAACAGTCATCCTTCTAGGGTGTGTTGTGTTGTCAGTTTGGCTTTTGGCTTGCTCCAGTATGCTTAGTTTGTGCTCCAGTATGCTGGTCCCTGGATCACCCATGCTGTGTATATCCTTTTTTTTTTTGCGCGTGTGTGTTTTTTTTTTTTTTTGCTTCTGTTGGGTTATTGTTAGGTTTTTGTTGTTGTTGTTTGCTTGTTTTATTTTGTGGAGTGCTTTTTAAAAACAGACTGAGCACAGCTGAGGAGGGAGCTTGTCCAGGGCCTGTTCCAAACAGCAGAGATGCCCTCTGCCCACAGCAGTCCTTCAGACATGATACTAGCAGGGATTGTACCCTCACACCGTGATGTGCTCTCATGCTGCCCTCCAGAGTATGCAACGTGCATCCTTGTTGTCACAAGCTGAGAATGATAAGTCTTAATTTGGGCACTTCAAACAAGAGAGAACAAAACAAGCTAACAAACAGTTCTCAAGGCTTTTGGGATGCCATATGGGAAACCTGGGTCAAATACTATGCAGTGTGGGCATGGCCAATACACTTCAGATGTGTCAGAGATAACTCAGTGTCAGTGATGTGGCCAGAAACCAGCCTGACCAGCTGGCCTAACCTGATGTGGTCATGAGAAGTGGTATAGCCAAAGCAGCATTTGTTCATTTGGCATGCTTCTTAGGCTGCGTCCCTAGTTAGCAGGAGCTGCTGGGTCATGCATTAAACCTAGGAAAAACACAGCTTGTCAGGTTACAGCAGAGACAGTTAGAACACATCTGTATGTTCTACTTTATGCTGTTACTGTCTGAAAGGTTTCCTCAGTCATGGCTGTGTTTGAATTTGATGCATGTGTGATAGGACTGCAGAGTCTCCTGTCCCTTCTGTTGAAATTGTCATTGTTAATCTCCTTACATTTTAATATTTCTTCACTAATGCAATTTTGTTGAATGAGTCAATGAGCCTGAGTAGAACTAGGTAATTCTACTGCAGTTACATGGTGAGAAAATGCTGTTTAAAAATAAGTAACAAAATAGAATAAGAGATAAATGTACTTACTCTCAGTACTTTTAATGATAAACCCACTTAAATGAAGAAGCTATGGGAGATTGAAAAACAAGATTCAAATGTGATACCTTCAGAGGATAATAATGTTTCAAATCAAGTGCACAGTGGTCATGACTTCATAATCTGGGTCAGGGAGCACGGGGATCTCTATCTTAAAGTCCTAAGGTTATCTTCAAAGGGGGGAAAGAAAAGGGGACTCTTGTGAGTAGTAGATGCAAAGGGCACCTGAACTGTGTCTTAATCTTGCAGCTGTCTTCTGTGCCACCATTTTATTTCTGATGTGGCGGCGCAGAAAAAATGAATCCTTACTCATTACAAAATGAAGCCGTACACAAATTTTGGTCCTCACATAGGCAAAGAGGAGGTAATTGCCTTTGTTTAGTTTCATTTTTCTGTGTGTATTGCTTGCCAAACCTTACCTATATGCAGCAGTGTGAACTTGTGTGGGTTTGTTGCAGAATAAATACATCGTCTAAGATTTCATTTTGTTTGAAATTAAATTTAAAGTGTCTTTCATTCTATGAAGGTGCAGGGTAATGTTAGTGTTCATGGAAGACAAGGAGTAAATACCAATAAGGAATAAGGCAGTCAGGTGTTTCAAAACATGTTGTTGAAAGTTTGGTGTCTCTGGCAAAAGTTACCAGTACTATTACATCTGTTTGCAACTTTGTGATCTGGATGAATGTTTGCTTGTGTCTAAATTAAGGTCTTTGAGTTTTTCACTTTACATGTAAACACGGCTTTGTTGTCCAGAGGTAGAGTAGTGCCACTTCAAGAAATGTGTGCCACAGCACATACTTAGTTCTTAAATCTTTGTTGTTAAAAGCAAATGAAAAGCTCTTTAAAAGCCAAAAGCAAACAAAAAGTGGTTAACTTCTGCCTGATTTTGTGTGTTTGTGTGTGTAGAATTTAATGTGCACACAAAATACATAGTAAGGAGACAAAACTATAAAGAATTTTTTGTTTTAGAGCCTCCAATGAGCAGTTCTCCCTTCACGTTAGCAGTGCTGGTGCTAGCACTGTCCCACTTGCCGCTGGAGCCATTCTGCATGAGGTGCTACCAGGGCAGCTTGTTATGTTACAGTCTGCTTCGTACAGGGAAAAGCTAATGATAGTTTGAGTTAGCTTCTTTTCCTGCCTTCACTTGCATTCATCTTCTTTGAGGTAGCTTTCTAAAGTAGTATGTAGAGAACTACGTGTGTGAAAATGTGTTGTTGCTGGATAATTTTGATTGGTGGGAAGGAAAAAATAACCAGAACATGGTTCAGTTTAGCCCTCCAAACTTTGCTGTTTCTCTTTCAACTGTAACTGTAATTCACATGCAGGTGTCATATCTTTAATAATTCCTTTATTATCTTAATAGTAAGTCTTCAGTCCAGAGACCGAATAGGCACAGGAGGACAAGTTGTGGATTGCAGTCGTTTATTTGATAACGATTTGCCAGATGGGTAAGTTGACTCCACTGTCAATACAAATACAGCTCACACAACAGACTTCTGCAGTAATGAGAAGTCAAAGTAAAAATAGGTTAATTTATTTTTATTCTTACACTTGAGTACTACATTTTTAAATTTAGGAACAGGTGATAAGCCAGCCAGGCTATGCAGAGTATTTAAGAGTTTGACCCGTGTCACTCTTTTTTTTTTTTTTTTTTTTTTAAATGAGAGGTGGCATATAAACATAAATACAGTTTTAAAATACACCTTTTTTCCACATTATAGAATTGATAAGCTACTATAACCTTAAGTCACTGTCGGCTGATCGGCTTCATCCGTATAGTAGTTTTGTAGCAATGTAGTGAGCACACAGGCTTGGCTGTCTTCTACAGAGCCGTGTAAAAATGGATCACTTTTTTTCTTCCATGTAAATTGTGAATAAAACATGATTGGAAGAGCTAATGGAGACTGAGTTCTTGCTGTATTTACCTGCCAAATGCTGGGTTTGGGATTTTGATTTATCCCTGTGAGAGTTAATGCCATCATTAACACCTAGCAAAAAGTTTTGCAAATACAGAAAAACTCTTTATTTTAGGTTGTGGTGCTGTCATCAACTTTTTCAGAGCAAACATAGAACCTTTGAATGTGATTCTTTGCAGGTAAAGACAAGACAAACTGATAATTCAGGTGATGAGCTTTAAAATGCAAATTATCATCCAAGTCCTAAACAGCAGTTTTTTAGTTTGTAGTTTTGAGGAAGTCAAAAGCATATTTGAAAATGCTTTTGCATTTTCACTTTAAAATGTTAATTGTGTAAATATTGCTTACATAACTGTGTAACTTCACAGTTGTATTGTCTCATGTATTTTGAAGTGCAAAAATAGGAATAAAAAAATCTTGTTATTTGAAAGTGATTTTTTTCAGTGAAGCAAGTAGTGGTGAAAACACTACAAGAGGACTTATAAGGACAAACAAAGTTAAATTTAGAAAAACTAAACATGATGTTTCCAAAAAGTTTCTTTTTATAGTTAATTGGATTTAATTAGAATTCAAATATTTATTGAACATGGTATGATATTTTTAATGATGTGCCTAGTTCCAAGGGAGAGAAGCATGTAAAATTAATTGAGAATTGAACTTTCAGTTGTTTCCTGTTACCTTGTTCAGCTAATATGATTCATAATAGCATACGTCTTCCTGAGTTGGCATTTATGTTGGAAACATTTAGTGCCCTGGTTTCCTGGAAATACCACTCATTGCCTTATCTCTCGATGTCTGAATTCTAGGTGGGAGGAACGGAGAACTGCTTCTGGAAGGATCCAGTATTTAAATCATATTACACGAACAACTCAGTGGGAACGACCAACACGGTAAGAAATTGTTCAGGAGACTGTGTATGTGGTGAAGTCTGTTTGCTGACCAGGAGCACTGACCGCAAGGGAGTCTAAGTGTCTCTACCAGGAAGTATTCGGCATTCCTCAGAGTCCCTGTACAAACGCCATGTGCTTTTATTTTCTAACATCTTACTTCTTCGTCCTGTCCAGTATTTATTTCAGAATAATCTTTCTGACTAGATTTTCTTCTCCCTAAATACTAGCATCTTTGTTCTCCTGTACAGCTGCTATGGTAGAACCATATAAATACAGCCGTTATAGTGTGGAGACGTTGTAAGAGGCGAATAAAGATTGTGAGCTATGTCTCAGCTATGTGCATGTTATGACGGTGTAAAGCAGAACTTTAAAAACTGGTTGTTACAGAACATGTTTTAAAATCATTACAATCACCTGCTCTGATAACCAAAAATAGGCATTGCAAAGTGTTTCTTCAAACCAGTTTTGCTGTTACCTGAACTGTGGACAGTGTCAGTGCGTGTTTTTCACTCTTCTGCAGACTGTCTGTGCCTAGTAACTCTTGCACCCTCGATAAATATTATTCCAGTCTCTGTATGTAACCATATTTGACTTAAAATAATGTAAACTGTTAATGCTGCCAGCTCTGATATATATTAGCAGTTTTAAAGTGACTGAACTTACTGAACAGCTTTTTAATGTCTGTCTATTCTTTTCTGGTACGTTAAAACAACTATTCTAAGCACTAGATATGTTCACAATAGAAAAATAAATACAAAATACATAACTTGGTTAGGGGGTTTCCTGCATTCTTATCAATCCCTCTAATCCATTTTACATCCTTTTAAAAGCAGCACTGAGATATGAAACCATAACATTCAGTGTTTCCTCTTGCTGTCAAGCTCTTGAGAACAACTGTTTCTATCTCACTTAGCTCGTTTTCACCATCCTCGCCTAATAACCTTCCTTAAAAGTTAAAAGGACTAATTAGACCTTATGGCTTCTTCAGCCATATGAAGGCAAGTGAGAAATCTTGAGCTATATGCTGCTCATAAAATAAGTTTCACTCTCTGTTTTTTACTATTGTTTTTTTTAGGGTGGGAACTGCTCACATGAGCATTTGATATGATCTTGATCTTGCAGCATCATGTACTAACGTGTCAGGTCAGACCATAGCACAGATGAGGAGGTCTAGTGATCGCTTTGGGCTGAACAGAACAGCAGCTTGCTGCCCATTGTCAGGGCATCCTGCTCCACGGATAACTGTGACAGAAGCTTCTGGTAGAGGAAGCACATAATTTTCACATTTTTCCCAACAGGCCAGCATCTGAATACTCCAGTCCAGGCAGACCGCTGAGCTGCTTTGTGGATGAGAACACTCCAATTACGGGAACAAACGGTGCAACATGTGGGCAATCATCAGATCCCCGGCTGGCAGAGAGGAGAGTCAGGTCACAGAGGCACAGGAATTACATGAGCAGGACACACTTGCACACTCCTCCTGATTTACCTGAAGGCTATGGTATGTAAATTAAAAATAATGTATTGTACTTCTCTTGGGGAGTAGGGAAAATGGGTTATATCTCATCATATATTAAATGCTTTTGATTACTTAGTTTGGGAGAATCAGTCTTTGTGAGTTTTTGTGCTACATGTTTTGTTCTTATTAATTTGTCTTGATTTCACAGAGCAAAGGACGACTCAGCAAGGTCAGGTCTATTTTCTGCATACTCAGACTGGTGTTAGCACGTGGCATGATCCAAGAGTACCTAGGTAAGAAAATGATGAAAGTATCCTTAAGGTGTCAAATTAAAATAGTTTAACCAGTGCTCTTCTAATAGTTGTCTCTATAGTATTTAATATATAAATATTTACCGTTGGCCCCTAAAAAACTCATTTTAACAAGTCATTTGTCAAAATAAATTGGTCTATTTTCCTCACTTCTTCAGATTATTAATTTAATGCAATGGAGAATCAAGAACAAACTACAGTGATGTAGAGATTTTTTTTTTTTAAAGTCAGACTCTGAAATTAACAAGACCTGAGAAACTGGCTATATAAGTTTATGAGGAACAAATTGTGTGACAAATGTGATAGTAAAATGTGATCATTTTAGATAGGGAGCAGACAAGGAAGAAAACTTTGGAAAATCTAGTGGGTGTCATGTATATTTATGATGCAGCATTTGTACTGAACGACACTCATCATTAAAAATTCACTTAATTTTACTTGGCTGTGAGAATTATTGTCCAATGTTCAGACTACCAAATATAATTAACTCAAGGAATGGGAAATGTAGTATATTTTGAAGAAATTAATTGGAGACACTGGGTCATAAAAAGCCTGGAAGCTGAAACGGTGAGCAGTGTTCAAAGTGCTGGGATTTTTTTTTATTTTTTTTTTAATAAAAAACAACCCAACCAACTGAAACAAGACAGAACAACAACATTTTTTTTTTTTACCACTTGGGTATGGTAGCAAATATCTAAAATTGCACTGGCTTTTTTACAGTTTTTTTCCCTATACAGAGCAGAAAAGACTATATAAACTTTTAGCATGTATATTCATAGAGAAATTGTGTATGCTTTCAAGCATCTTATTAGTACTATATAAATGGGAATTCTGGGGAGAGGCAAATAGAGAAGCTGAAAGAGGTTAACCTATGATTAAATACTCAAGCTGCTATTTCTATTGCAGTTATCTCAACACTTAGGAGAAAATAAATCTGAAGTGTCCTTTTAGTTTAGCATCTTTATACAATGTGTATGTGTGTAAACATTGCATATGATTATGCACATGATTATTTCTGATGTATATGAAAGGAAAGCAAGAAAACATGGAATTAATTGTTGGTTTTTGATTTTCTTTACAATACTACCCTGAGATTTTAGAAGACAATAATTTTCAACAGGATTTTTTTTCTTAATGTGTGCACTTTGGAATTGGCAGCCAGTATTGGCATTTATGAGAATTGTAAAAACTGTTAGTTGCTGCTGGTGTTCATTCCCATGGAAATGGATTTTGACTCTCCTGGGAAGGATAAAGTGCCTCGTAGCCATAACTTCATTGCATTTTCAAATGATTCTTCTAATTGCTTTTAGTAGTCCTTTTGTGCTACAAAATTATCCTTTATGATGCATTATCTGAAACGTGAGAGTGCAATAGAGTTGGCAGTTGTGTATTAGGAAGTATTTGTTTACATGATTTACGTATTATGTAAAACTAGAAACTAGACTTCTCTAAAAAGAAGTCATATTAAGAATGAAGAAAGTTAAGTTTCCTCAAGTTTGTTTTGTAATGATTTTGTACAAAATCCAAGCTAGGACTGCTTTTAGGTGTGGCAATAAACTGTGTGAGTGTCTCTGAGAACAAAATTTGGCTGCTTGCATGTACCAGCCACGATGACAGGGGATAGAGCTTATGTCATTTCTAAGAAACACTGTATTTTATGCTAATATGCCACATTTAGCTAGTAAAAATAAACCCTACGGTTCAGCAGCACTGTGTGTATGGGTAATATCTGCCGAAGCTCATTCCCAGAGCCTGTATTTCCTTTAGTAGCTGTTAAGCTTTTTGAGTCCCTGTAGAGTGCATCTTTTCAGGCTCTCTGTTGCTCATCTCTTTACTCCCATCAACTCTGATGGTACTGCATGATATGAAGACTTGCACCTTCAAAAATAACGCTCTTGACAGGTTGAGGTATCCAAGGTGCGAATTGCATACATTTATTGACGTTTAAAAAACTATTACTTTTCTTCAGTGAGCCTCTGAAACAAATCTGTGTAATCCTAATTTCAGCAGAACTTGCTTGAGACCAATTAAGGTTTCTCTGCACTGCTCAGTGCAGAGCTGAGTCATTGTGTGTTTTTTTTGTTTTGTTTTGTTTTGTTTTGTTGTTTTTGTTTTTTTGTTAGAGACCTGTTTGCTTCCCACTGGCGTTTGGGGTTTGGGAGCAAAAATCAGCTGTGGCCTTCATGCATATTCCATGTATAGTTCTTCATGGAAAGTATAACTCTTCAGAAATATACTTTTGTTTTGTAGGAGTTTTAGAAGTGTGATTCAGAGTTCCTTACATGACTAATGTTGTTTTAAAAATGTTTTCTGTCAGAATTGGTGTAGAACTGCAATTCCATTCTGGCAAATATGGCAGTGGCCTTTATTTTTGTTTTAAGCCTCTATTAATTTAACATCTGAAGTTAGTTTGTAAAAATGAAGGTTATTTGATAAGAATTTTTTTCCCTGCGGCATGTGTTCTGGGGTGTGTGTTTTTTCTTTGGTGGGCTTGCACCTTGGGAGCAAAGATTCCAGCTGAACAGATCAAGTTTCTGAAACAATACATTTTCTCAGACTTCATGGAATTGTTCTGTTACATTTACGCTTGTTTGGCTCGGAGGCCAAATGCTGAGGTATTTTTCATTTTATATTTGTTTTCACAGGGATCTTAGCAACATCAATTGTGAAGAGCTTGGTCCCCTGCCTCCTGGATGGGAGATCCGAAATACAGCAACAGGCAGAGTTTATTTTGTTGACCATAACAACAGGACAACGCAGTTTACGGATCCACGGCTTTCTGCTAACTTGCATTTAGTATTAAAGTAAGTCTAAAGTCTCCAGCACATGTTGAGTGTAATAGAGGAAAGAAAGCGACTCTTAAGGGGTACTAGATTTTATATCAAGATGTATTCCGCCATTCAGTAGTATTTGAAGCACAGCAGCAACAAAACAAATCAAAGCAAAAAAGTGAAACAAAACAAACCAAAAACAAACAAACAACAACAACAACAAAAACCTCTAGCAGCATTTAGACAGGAATGTGGCTATTGTGATGCCAGGTGTGGGGGCTGGGAGGGAGGGAGGAAGCAAGTGCCTTCCCATGCAAAAGACTGGCCTGTGGAATTCATTCCAACAGCGAGACAGACGCTTTCTTTCCTTTTCTTTTTGCTTTGTACTACTTTCAGTGATGGAGTGCTTGTTTTAAAAATATCAGATTGCATTCAATACCCAATTGAGTTAGGCAAGGGTACAGAAGTGCCCAACTATTTTGCTGAGAGAAAGAGAAATAATTCAGCCCCTACATTCAGTTTTAGAGTAAGACTAGTTGAGATGCTCTCAAAAATAAGACACCAATAATTTAAATTGGATTTGTTACAAGTGAAAAACAAAAACACTATTTCCTCTGCATTAGTGCAGATATCACATTTTAGTATCACAATTTTAAAAAGAGGAAGGGAAACTCGAAAAAGATTCTGGCTGTTGTTTTCATTCCCAAGTACTCACTTCATACTGAGGAACTCTAAAGAAAATGGAAACCAAAAAGTGGGCAAACATTTCTGTTTTGCCTCGACATGGCTATCAGTTTGTCCAAGCTCTGTGGGAATTCGCTTCTATTGTTTCTCCTATTAACACCTTTTAATACTCTTGGGAAACACCTGTAACCTATTAAGTAGGTGTTAAGTGGAAGGAACAATAAAGAACTGGTAAGATAGAAAGTCATGTGCGGCCCTGGGCAAGGAATAAGTGTGAGGAATAGTCCTTTTAAGGAAGTGAATCCTTGGGAAGAGAAGCTGAAGGAAACAATAATGGCAGCAAGCACTGAAAAGACAGAACCAAGGAATAAATATCCAGGAGTTGCATGTAACTTTATGCATAAAAGTTGGATAACCTTTGCCCAATGCCCATTTAAAGTTACTAGCCCAAGAGGGAGGCAAGTCTAGATATTGAAAAATATTTGTTTAGAGAGTCATTGATTTTATTTTTGTATATTACAGAACATTAGTAAAAGTTCCCATCGTCTAGACAGTTAATGAGATTTAGATATGTAAATCAAGAAAAAAACTTCAGACCCTCTTAACTACAACAACATAATTCCTAACTGTAGAACATTTAGTTAACTGGTCTGTATTTGAAATAAACTGTCCTTCACAGGTATGCTTATTTTTAAATGGTAGTAGGCACATAGTGGCTAGGTCAACAAGTGTTGTGAAGGACAATACATAGGTAGCTTTTCATCTAGAAAATCCACTTTGGCTTTCAAGTTCCAGAACCATTTTGCATTTTTTTAAACTTAAGCACACTGTAGTAGTTCTTTTTCATTTGTACATCTGTCTTTCATTAGGGAAGGATTTCAGAAATTCAACCAACAGTGTCATCAGCAAAATCTGCTGCCTGATAAATCTTTTCTGGTGTTTATTCTTTTATTGCATAAAACGGGATATGTGAAAAAATGAAACCCACCTCATCATTTGTTCTTTAAAAAACAATAACAACAACAGAAAAAAAGAATCAGGCAATACGCCTTAGGCTTGTCATTTAAAAAATTATCTGAGAAATAAGTTTAGTGTTTGGGTGGAATGGGTGTGATAGTTCTAGGCTCAAAACTGTAATAAAGGTTTTGTGTTCGGTACTACTGACTTCTGTTGGGCTGAGTAAAGAAGTTTGTTCTTTCAGTGATGAAATTAGACGTTATGAAAATAATCGAACTTGTTAACCAATTCCATTTTTAAAATATTGGCCAAAAGTTCATGTTCGGTTTTGATAGTTATGGTACCTGAAAAGTAGTTAGCTATATCCTCAAAGCACAGTATGCAATCAAGCATATTCATTCAGCTGTGAAAACAAATTTAATAAATTACATTTAATTACTTTAAGTGCGGCAGGTTGTTTAGCTAATACTACACTGATTATTTTTAGTCTAATATGGGAGATGGCATTTTATTTTTCTTCTTCTAGTGCTGCTTTATTTTAGTTTGGTTTAATTTGATGCACAGATCTTAAATTCATGCTCATTTCGGGAACTACATTTCGTTTGACTAACTAGTTTTATGTCTAGGATACTGTGTTTTTATACTCAAAGCGTATACATAAAGGCAGTATGAATGTATGCTCGCTTTAGTATGTAATTATGACCTTCTCTGGTTATTTTCACAAGATTGTCCTTATGGAATCAGAAAATGCAGAAGGCACAATAACATTTGCTGGTTGGACTAGGTCTTGGAGATCTTTTCTCAGCCTTAATGGTGTCTGATTCTATGATTTCTGCTTTAATTTGTGTATCAATTAAATACTCTTTTACTTGTGATTAGCTCTCAATAAGAATCTCACCTGAAAGTATCATGATAAATGTTGAACCGTACTCTGGAACCACATCAAGTATCTCTAAGCTACTGTAATGGCTTAGTTTCTTGGGAGTTAATTTTTAAGTAACTGCATTTTATTGTAGTTGATCACCTATAATGTGATCAGCTTGAGAATAAAGTTAATGTAGCCTTATTTAAAAACAAACAACAAAGATCTGTGAATCTAGCAAAATCAGTTAAACTAATCTCTATGCTCTAGTATGCAGGGCTTCAGTAACAGAATAAGATTTGTGAGCATTATTCCCTACCTCTAGTCCAGAAGTAAAGAGAGATTATTAATAGTTAGCCTTGCATTATTGCTGAAGTGATCCAAAATGTGTGCCATTGCAGAGGTTTCTAAATAGTAGGTTTTGTAGGACTACAGGTAAAACATTCGAGTCAACTGCTGTTAGTTTCCCTTGAGGGTAGTTCATGCAAAATTACTTTAAATAAAATGTTTGAAAATAACAAAATAGCTATCAGAACCACATGGCAAACTGGGAACATCCCCACCCCCTTTTTAATTGCCAAATCTGAATGTTGCTGTGGTGAAAGCCTGCTGGAAATGAATTTTGGTTGGCCAGGAGAGCTTTCTAATAGACATTGCTTCAAAACAGGCAAAAGACTGAAAATGTAAAATATATTAAAGTTGTGTGTGGTCCTATCTAATATTTTTGGTCCTTTATGTTGCAAAAAACAACATATATTCCAATGAAAAAAAAAATCTAAATTATGACCTTTTCTATTTATCCCATAAATTTAGGACATTATCATGTGTCCCACACTGAGAGGTGTGTTGTTGTTATTTTTTTTTTCCACGGTTTATGTAAAATACAACTTTTATCCTGTCTTGTTTGGAGATGTCATACCGAAATACAAAAATATCCACTCACTGTCTACAAGAAATGACACAAGGGAGGGCATCTCTGCTCAAGATAAATTTTCTTTTTCTAGTAAGAAGTTAGATTTACAAAATCTCTTAGAATTGCTAGTAAAAATACTTGTTTATCTGTGCCAATTAGTTACATGTGAACTCCCCACATTCCTGTGGTCCAGACTAGGCCAGGTACAAGGGACAAGGTCCTTGCCAAGCTGCCAGTACAAACATCTTTTTGTAAGCTTACTCTTTTTCAGACAAGCCATTTAAAACAGACTATGGTATTGACTGTAGATTAGAGGCATAGTGTTTGGCAGACCCCTGAATTTTAAAATGGAGGAAGGCAAAACATGCAAGGGAAATATGGAAATGGTATCTGAGAAATTCAGTGTCAGCAGCTTAGTAGTAAAATTGTATGGCTAATACCTTATTATATAGTGCTGTAACCTTTTACATACTTTGTAGAGTAGTACTAATAGAAATAACAAACCCTAAAAACAATTGATAGTTGCCAAGAAAGACAGAAACATATGTCTTTAGTCAGGATAAAATCTCTCTGAATTTATTTTTTACTGGACCTGAATGTTTTTAGTGTAATCACAGTAATAATCATAGTAAAATGTAAGTAGTTCAGTTACGAAAACTTAACCATTAAGAAACATCTGAAGAAAACACGGGACGTATGACTTGAATATCTGCAAACAGCTGTGTTTGTTTCTAGCCGCCAGAATCAACTTAAAGATCAGCAGCACCAGCAGCAGCAGCAGGTAGTGTCCCTGTGTCAGCTTCCAGATGAGGCAGAGTGTCTCACTGTGCCAAGGTACAAGCGAGACCTGGTGCAGAAACTCAAGATCCTGAGGCAAGAGCTGTCACAGCAGCAACCTCAAGCTGGCCATTGTCGTATTGAGGTCTCCAGAGAAGAGATTTTTGAGGTAATTTGAGAACTTAACCCATTTATTAACATTGAGAGAAGGGGAGGAGGGTTATCTGCAAGTGTCTGAAGAAGTCACTCAGGTAGATGAAATGTTGAAGCCTGGAGTTAAAGCTGAAATTTTACCAGTGGTATATGAGGACAGGAATCATTTTGTGTGTGTGATCAGAACAGTTGTGTATGTAAAGTAGATGTATTTACCCTGCGAAGAAGAAGAAAAAGGAGGAAAGCTTTCCTTGTGGTTGGAGATGGACACTTTCCTCCCTTCTTCCACCACTTTAAGGCAGTGTCTCTTACAGAGGGGACGTTGCCATCTGAAAACTAAACAATCTGAAAAGATCTTTGATGTTTTTGTAAGTAAAAAATACTATTGAGTAATATTAATCTTTGTAGTTAAAATTGCTTAGCACCTATCTCAGTTCTGGCTGATATTTTTGCAGAATCAGACATTTTATGCATTCAGTAGGCTTCTGAATGACCAGAGATGTCTGCATTGAGTCATTTACATCTTATTTCATGAGATTGCTTAGCAGAATAATTCTGCTGAATTGATGAAATGCAGTTATAATACATGGACTTTTTCTGAAGAACAGTATGTCTTGAAAATTTTATCAGCCATCCCACCCATCCCTGTTGCATTTTTATCCCACCCCGCTGTGTTGTCACCGTTTTTACAGCCAAGAAAGATTTGTGTTGGCCTTCCCTTTGGAGACTGTCAAGTCGCTTCATAATCAACTAAAAAAGAAAGGGGAAAACGCTGCCATACAGCAGTGAAAATTATCATTTTCATTATTATGATTTTTTATTTTAATTTTTTTGAAAACAAAAATTTACTGACACAGATTTGGGGGGAAGGGGTAAAGTTATGTGAGAATGACAGAAAATATTATGATCACTGTACAACCTGGGAAGTTTAGAGGTGGTTCTTCTCTCATGTCTGTTTTATTTGACAAGCATTATCACATTTGTAGAACGCTGTGTAGCCATCTGCGATCGGAGAAACAGTGGTTAGTATCTAGAAAAATAGTATCCCTCTTGGACTTAGAATCTGAGACTCCCTTAATTTCTAATAAACAGGAGTAGCTTCTTCTTGTCTGTAAATAGCAGTTAATAAAAGAACGTGTTGTGTATTAACAGGAATCCTACAGGCAGGTCATGAAGATGAGGCCAAAAGACCTGTGGAAGCGATTAATGATAAAATTCCGTGGGGAGGAAGGCCTTGATTATGGAGGTGTTGCCAGGTAAACAGTGCATCCTCTGTCTCTTCCTGCAGCCTCACCAGTTACACTGCTCTGAATCCAAGACTGGACTTATAACAGCTCTGGTTTTGTTTTGTTTTGATTTGATTTGATTTTTTTTTAATTCCTTGTAAATAAATCAAAATGCGTTACAGATTGCATCAAAGACTTATCACATATGTGAGATGCTCTTTTGATATCTACCAAAATCACACTATTTGTTTTTGGTTCGTAAAGCCTTCAGTATCTGAGAATTTGCACCACTAAACACTCAACTTTACAGAGGAGTTCTGATCAAAAATATGCTTTATTGCAAGTTACCACTACTGTTTGAAGCAATATTTTAAGAACTAGCAGTTGGAAGGCAACTAAAATCTGTCAGTTGTCTGTGAGGTTGCTCTTGACTTTTTTTATAAAAAGGAACTTTTTTTATTATATGAAGAGATCCTTCATATATTAAACCAGTTCTAGGAATTCTGTTGGCTGTCAGGAGCAGTGCAGTTACTGAATCAGTAAAAAAAAAAAAAAATAATTCTGATTTCAGCCTTCTAAACATGTTCATAGCCAACTTCCTTTTGAAAAGATTGAAAGTATTCTTAGTGTATGAATGCATTTGTCTAAAGTACACTATAAATTATTATTATTTTTCTTCAGGGAGTGGCTCTACCTATTGTCACATGAAATGTTGAATCCATATTACGGTCTCTTCCAATATTCCCGAGATGATATCTATACACTGCAAATCAACCCAGACTCTGCAGTTAACCCGGTATGACTGGCAACAGGAGTTTTGTGACCTAGAAATTAAATGCGTGCAGAGAACGTTCTAGACTTAAGAATCTAGTTCTCGCATTAGTATTGCTAGAGACTGAATTTGTGCAATATGATAATTTCTTTTTAGAACTGATCAAGGAAACCTCCCAAATGTGTTCTTAATTTTCTTTAAGATGCAATTCATATTTCCTTTGGAAGTTTGTTTTTAAGTTTGTTTTGATTCTTAGTAGTAAGACTTCTGGACTGGAAGCAATATACTAAATGTACTGTGTATAAAAACAAACAAAAAAAGAAAAAAGTTCTGGCTATGTTTTTGGGTTTGTTTTTTTTTTTAGTTTTATTGAAATTTTGTTTAATATTCAGCAGATACAATCTAGCAGTCTCGTTTAGTTGAATGACGTACTCTTTTTCAATTCTAGGAACACTTATCATATTTCCATTTTGTTGGACGGATAATGGGGATGGCTGTATTTCACGGACACTATATTGATGGGGGCTTCACGTTGCCTTTCTATAAGCAGTTGCTAGGAAAGCCAATTACTTTGGATGATATGGAATTGGTTGACCCTGATCTTCATAACAGCTTAGTTTGGATACTGTATGTACTGTGCATTATGTTTTACAATGTTAGATTTCTTTCTGTTTAACACATGATATATGTCCCTAAATCCTGTTGAAAAGAGATTAAGTATATTTTGATCTCCCACTCTGGCAGATTTAAGAAACATCTTTCTTACATGAACAATTTGTCTTCTTTAAAGGCTTAACATGCTCAAAGTATTCAAATTTGGGGGGAATGAAAGATTACTGAGCTGTAAAGTATTCTGTTGTTCCTTTGTATTTGTTAATTGATTTTTGCCTATTATAAACAGCATGTTATTGAAATATAACATTGGAAGTTTGATAATCGGTTTAAAATGTAACAAAAATGTATATTCATCTCTTGCTTCCAAGCAATAATTTTAAATGTTACTCAAAAAGTAAATCATGATGTCTGTCAAAAGCCTTATGGCTGTAATATATTTGCAGAATAGATTTTTGTTGAGTCACTTACTTATTTCTTTCCACCAGTGAGAATGATATCACAGGAGTCTTAGACCATACATTCTGTGTAGAACACAATGCATATGGGGAAATTATTCAACATGAACTGAAACCCAATGGCAAAAGCATCCCAGTGACAGAAGAGAACAAAAAGGAATATGTCAGGTATTTATTTGAAGTAATTAAGTGTTATGGTGTGTTTTTTTTATTCCTAAATGGTAGTGTAATAATTTTGTTGTTACATATTGCTGTCAGTGAGGCCATTTTTTTGGGTTGAATAAATTGCAGGTTTATTATATTTGAATACATCTTTCACAAATCCAATTTGCACTTGCTTGCAGGCTTTATGTAAACTGGCGATTTTTACGAGGAATTGAAGCTCAGTTTCTGGCTCTACAGAAGGGATTTAATGAAGTAATCCCACAACATCTGCTGAAGACATTTGATGAGAAAGAGTTAGAGGTCAGTACACTAATGTTATGTTATGTCGTCAAGTGTAATAATAAAAGCCCGAGGCATTCTTCTGAGACTAAGGAACATGTGAAGTTGTATCCCCAGTGCTTTAGGGGTTTTGCAGGTGTGCTATTGCAAAAAATACAGTTAGCATAAGAGGTTACCAAGTCACGCAGTCTCTGAGATGGACAGCATGCATCTTCCACTGAGAATTAGGAGAGCGCTTCTCAAGGTGACATTTCATAGCAACTGTGTAAGTGGTAGAAGAGGAGACCTTCTCCTATAACAAAACAAACAAACAAACAAAAAAACCAAATTGCTGAACCCATTGAGTGTGTGATCTGCAGTGACCTTGGATTATTTCACTGAGTGTTACTCCAGCAGAGGCAGTGGTGCATATTTCTCACAGTGTAGTTTCATGATATTAAATATAAGTGCTGCCAGGAAAATGCTCTGTCACTCCCTCCCACCTTGTTCCCAGCCCTTCCAGTGTACTGCACTGAGATCAGTGTCAGACAGCTATGCAGTTTTGCAGAGCTGGGTTATGCCAGACTAAACTGGCTCCGCAATATAGCATAAGGAAAGGTGCTGTCATCAACAAATGTGCTATAAAATGTCAAGATCAGCATCCTCACAATATCAGTTCAAATCCCATAGATCTCAAGCTTGTTTTAAAACTGAAATCTAATATACAGTCTGTCAGCTGCAGAGCTGAGCTTCTTGCCATATAAAATGGCCACAAGGTAAATGATTAATGCTTTCTTTTGTTCCCTGTACTAGAATGTCAGTGAGTGCTGTTCCTTAATCCTGAATGTTCTCATTCAACAACAGCCAGCCAGCCAGCCCGTTAATCCAGAATCGTTTTGCAGACAGAGGAAGAACAGTGAAGGTCTGGTGTTGTTAGTCACAAGCAGACGTCTTTATAATCATATCCCATTTGAGCTTAAGCCAATCCATTGTGGTTCTCTGTTTAGAAGTGCCAAAAGCTCATCTTCAGGAGAGAAATCCTATTTGTATTACCTGTATGGTATGACAACAACAAAATTATTTCTGGGGGTCCAGAGTTGAATGAGCCAAACTTCACCCTTAGTTTTGCTCCACAAAGAAGCATTGAATTCAAATGGGAATTGTGTGTGCACTTTCACATAAGGGCAAGAATCTATGCTTCTAGTATTTGATTGGCAGGCCAAGACGTTTTCATATAAGCTTATGAAATGTTTTTTTATTTGAATTAAGATATTTGAAAAACTGTGCATAAAGGTAAGGCCCTTCTAAAGAAAAATGTTGCATTTCTACATCGCCTAATATTAGTGAGAAGTTATAATTTTCCTTTGGTTTAAAATCTGTCAATTTTTCAGACTCAGTAATTCATCATTTGTCTAGCTCCAAATCTTTTGTTGTTGTTTTATTAATGGTCACAGAATCATTTAGGTTAGAAAAGACCTCTGAGTACAACCATTACCCTAGCACTGCAAGTCTACTACTGAACCATGTCCCTAAGTACCACATCTACACTGATGTCTTTTGAATACCTCAGGGATGGTGACTCAACCATTTCCTTGGTCAGCAAGCACGTTCCAATGCTGCATAAACCTTTCAGTGAAGAATTTTTTCCTAATATCCAACCTAAACCTCCCCTGGTGCAACCTTAAGGCCGTTTCCTTTTGTCCTATCACTTCTTGCTTAGGAGAAGAGGCCAACCTTCACCCTGCTACAGCCTCCTTTGAGGTTGTTGTAGAGCACTGCAAGGTCTCCCCCGAGCCTCTTTTTCTCTAGGCTAAATAACCCCGGTTCTCTCAACTGCTCCTCATAAGCCCTGTTCTTTAGACCCTTCCCAGCTTTGTTTCCCCATGGAAGATGGATAGTTCCTAGCTCCCATCCCACTTATGAAATCATTAATTATATTTTAAATTTACAGCTCATCATTTGTGGACTTGGAAAAATCGATGTTAATGACTGGAAGGCAAATACTAGGTTAAAACACTGTACACCAGACAGCAACATTGTGAAATGGTTCTGGAAAGCTGTGGAATTCTTTGATGAAGAAAGGAGAGCACGACTTCTCCAGTTTGTGACTGGCTCATCCAGAGTGCCTCTGCAGGGCTTCAAGGCATTGCAAGGTAATGTTTTGCCAGAAGTAACTGCAAATGCCTGTATTTGGAGACACATCACAGAAACATTAGCTAAATATAAGGCTGGTTGGCTGTACTGTGACTTTTTTCAGGGGGATTTTTAATGGTCTGATGAGTAATAATCTCAGAAATGCCCTTTTTGCCAGTTCGTTTGTTACCTTTTGAATCAGCTGTAAATGGTTCTTTTGTTTCAATTATGCCCTTCCTTCCTTCTCTAGCAATACTTTCTGATCAGTGGAGATCTAGCAGGGTTCTCCTTATGTTTTCTCCTGTTTTTTCATTTCTCTCTTCTGTTAGCCTTCATCATCTGTACAGCTCTGTGGCAGAAGACACCAACATGGAGTGTTCTTGTGGTTCTGACAGCAGATGCATTTAGTAATCTGTACTGGTTTTATTGTAAGAATAACATAATCACAAGCATCCCAGGCAACAGAAACAATCTATTTGGTTATTGACCTGTTTTCTGAACTTCAGTCAAAACTTTGGATCTCTGCTGCATCCCTTGTTCTGTTAATGCACTAGTTACTGTATTTCACTCTCTCACAAGATGAGAGAAAGCATCCCAGGGGAAATGTTGACCATGAACCATTTTAATAGGTAGAAGATCCCGAGAGAACACATTCAGTGATAATAGCTGCCACAAACAATAGTGAATTGCTATAGAAATAAGTTCCATCATCCATTCTTCACCTGGAAGCCCTCGTTTTTCTTTTTCCTCACTTCTTAAGCTCTAAGATGTTCGGGAGCATTAGAAGCTCAGGAAGATTGACATTTTGAAGGCCCTAGTTACTTTAAGTGTTTAAATAATGTTGGGGAGAGACTTCTTCAGGCAAACTGTGTAACTGTTAATGGCCTGAGAATAGCTGAATGTAGGAATAACCTACTACTAATGTGAATGCTGTTAGTATCGTGAAGCAAATTGTTTGGAGTATGGTAATGCCAGTTTAACTTTACCTGCATTGTATATTCTAATATGACTATGCTAGTGGGGAAAAAAAAAAAAAAATCTGTGAAAAACAAAGCCTGCTTTCCTACATATTTGGAAAAAAAAATAAAACCTTATCAGGTTTTAGACTGGAGTTGTGTTAACACAGTAGTACGTTTTTATTTGCTTACACTCCTAGTTGACAGCAAAGAATCCCCATTAGAAAGATTCGAAACTGTAGATCATATTCTTAAATGTCTGTCTACACAAGCAAAAATTCTGGTTTTATTAAGGGTAGGGTGTTTGTAAGCTCTTCTGGCCTTTGTCTAAAAGGCTGCTGTGTTGCAGTCTTTCATTTAGCAGAGATTAAGGGGATTGCTACACAGTCATAATTTCACAAAAATATAGAAGTTGGTATCTGTGACTCTTCTGTCCAGTTTGGCCACTACTCAACAGCTGTTACAACATGGGGACCAATAGAGCTGTGTTAAGTTTCCTCCTTTAGGAAGGGTGGGAAAAGTTAGATTCAGAACTGTTATATAGTGCACAGTGTAAAACGGGTATTTTATTCTGCCTTATTGATGCTTTGTTATTGTTTATCTTCCAGTGACTTAAATAACTGCATGGTTATTTTGTGGGGGTGAATGGGAAGAAATTGTCTGATATGCACTGTGAGGGTTTTTTTTGCTAGTTGTTCATGGTTTCAACTTTTTCTGCAGAGTTTCTCTTTTTCTTGCTTTATTTACTTTTTTGTTGCAGTGCAACAAAGCAATTTTGTATTATGTGATACAGTAGTAATAGAGATCTTTTCTGGATTTTCAGGTGCTGCAGGCCCACGACTATTTACAATACACCAGATTGATGCCAGCACTAACAATTTGCCGAAAGCTCATACCTGGTAAGACTGCTTCAGGTCTCTGTTGTGATGTATAGATTTGCTCTCTATACTTTGAACTTAATTTTCTGATGTCATAAATACCGTCCATTACAGAGTAGTACAGGTGTGAAAACTGCAAATTGATTTTATGTATATGAAGTTGACCTCGTTAAATATTGCCTTGTCCTTGTTTCAGCCAGGTTAAAATGAAGTATAGCAGAACTTTGCTAGGTGAGGCCTGAAGTTCCAAATAATTGAAACTTTTGCTTTCTCTTTGCAGCTTTAACCGAATAGACATTCCTCCTTATGAAAGCTATGACAAGCTATACGAGAAGCTGCTAACTGCCATTGAAGAAACATGTGGGTTTGCCGTGGAATGACCCTTCACAGGCTTACCTGAGACTCTATTTATACTCCTGTCAGCCGGAAAGCCCTTCCCTCGCCAAGACTCAAGAAATGCTTGAAATACAGGAAACTTTCCCTTTTCTACACTAGGACACTGTAAGGGAAAGAACAACTTTGGAAATTTTTTTTTCTTCAAGAAAATAGATTCTGTGGTTCCTGCCATAGGATCATTCAGCTGCTATTAAAAACTAATATCTTGAACATACAGAATGCTGACTTTTCCTACATTTCAACAGTTAAGCAGTATTCTATACTTAAAGACTACTACTATTTTTGTAAAAGGTAATCTATTATATTTGCCTACCTGATTTCTATTCTCAGATACCAAGACACAACTTCAGCAGTCGGTACAAGTCACGTTTCAGCCTGTTTTAAATGTATGATACTGAACAGCATCTATACCTGCTATTTTTGGAAAAAAAAATATTTTGGATTATTCTAACTTTGCATAAAATTGGCTGAAAGAATCATTAATCTTTTTAATTAAAGCCACTTACATGTTAACTGCGTTTTCTTATAGTAAAACATTATATTCTGCAATGTAAATTCAACTTAAATGTTACCACAGGGGGCTTTTTTCTATATTTTTTCAAGCATGAATTACAAATAATGATGTTTTGGGGTCCTATTTATATCACTTGTCAGATTCCTTAAAATTTCTAGTATGAGCGACACATACTGTATTTGGTACAGTATTTGTGTTAACATGTGGAATAGGCCTTTTTTAATGAACAGTAGACATTTTGATTTTTTTAAACAGCATTTTTCTAACAAGTCTGTCAAGAGTATTTTTTGTTGCTTTTGACTTTAAACACTGCATTTTTCAACTTTTTTAGCATGTTGATGAGGTAATATTTGACAGCAGAAACCTGTTTGCAGTTCATTTCAGAACCCATCCTGTCCAGTCGACCAAAGTTTGTTTGAATGCAGCCAAATCACATTATATCTTTGTTGATGCTAAAGATTTATCAGGTAAAACATATTTTAATCTTTGTCTAGCTGCTCATGACATGTGGGTTTGTTACAACTAAGGAAAAAGGCGATAAAAAATGATGTATTATCTGAAATGTGTGATGTGCTTTGAAAAAAAGGTTTCAAAAGCACATAATTTATTGATTGTAGGGATGGAAGTAAGTATATATATGAATTATAACATGGGTTGATCTCTTCAAAGGGGAATAAAATGCACTACCAGTAGAGGGAACTGAATTTTGAAGTAAGTTTGGGAATTCTCAGTTAAGATCTATGTGATCTGTTCATGGTGTGTAGATGAATCAGTCTACTTACTAGACAGTGGCATTCTCCTATCAGTGGTGAGAATATCTGGAATAGGTAGCATTTTTTTCCAATCAGTGTTGTTTTTTTTAACATGGGTTACAATTGACCATCAAATCTGCACTATTTTTTACACTGCCAATAAGAAGAAAGTCAAGGGTACAGAAAACGCTGGAAGAATGGGACGTAAATGACTGTTCTGTTCCGCAGTGTAGGCCACACAGAGAACTAGCTAATTTTCTATTTGTTCTATGGAGCTTGAACTTAATTTTGTTCTGCCAAATCTGACTGCCACAGTGAGTAAACTACTACTGGATGTTGTGTATTAGAATAGTGGGCAATAGACTACTTTTTAGAATTGTGGTAGGAATCTGGTGAGCCAAATCCACATGTTCATTTGATTATATATATATTTTTGTACAGCTGTTGCTTCCCAGTTCTGGGCTGGCTGCAGAGCTGAGGCTACTTAGGGATGTAAACTTAAAGCCAAGAAACTTGCTTTGACAGCCAGATTTGACATATATCAGACCCTTCTTTCGTAATTTCAAGGGACTATTGCACTCTTACAATGGCTGGTACCTTTGCTTATAGTCGGAATCCCTAATTCAAGGCTTTCAGGTAATACTATTACCAGAGAAGCTACCACTACGTTTGTCCAGGTTGCCCGGGAGAGAAAAGTAGGATGTTGCCCAGTGTGTTTTTATTCGTTACTGCTGCCTGTGGTTGGGGACCACTGCTTTAGATATGCCCACAGACCTCTTCTCACCCCAAGTTTGGAGGTATGACATTAATTACTCTTTACAGAGACTAGGTTTTTTTTTGGTTTTTTTTTTTGTTTGTTTGTTTGTTTGTTTTGTTTTTTTTTTGACCACTGTTCAGAGGATTAAAAGTCTCCACTGTTGCATAAGGGATTTCATTCTGCTCTTGCTCAGGCTATGGCTGCAGCCACCCTGATCGTGGAAGCGTGAAAATTCAGGTTTGATCCAGTCTTTGGGAGAAGTCAGGGCTCAGTTGGCAGTTCCAGGGAGAAGGTGTGCTGTTCCCTTGGCACCAGACAGCCCACCTCAGCACTATTTAAAGACCATCTCTCTAAGTGTCTCCTGAGCACACCACCTGTACCCACCTCCTAGGAACCTTTTCCCTGTCAGCCTGCTTAGGCTGGTAAGTGTATTGAGCACATAGTTATGGCCACCCTTGTGACAAAAAAGCATTTCTGAGGAGGGGGGAGATGAGCTCTGCAGAATGGAGTGGAGATCAGCTGATAAATACCATTCATTTTCACAGCAGCCTTAGCAGTTCATCTGTTTGTTCTACCAAACATTTTGGTATGGCATAGAGATTTTTTTTTTAGTTGTCTCAGATAAATATTGTAAATTTAATATATTATAGGCAAAACTAGATAAATCTACATTCGACTTCCCATAGCTGACAGATGAGGTTGAATATACCAAGTATTTTGAGTGCCTTTCTACCTTCATGACTGAGAGCTTTAACTTAAAGCACCTCATCACCTAGTCGCATGTTTATCAGAAAATGTTAAAAGGTTCATTCCTTTGCAAAATTTTGTTTCAAGATCATGTCAACTACTTTCCCCTCAAAAAGGTGCTAAGCCTAATATTGCATTTTAACCTTGGACTTTCACCCCATGATTAATGTGAATATTTATTTCAATGTGTCCCTCTTACTGGGTTTTACTTTATCCAGTCTTTAGTTGTTTTAGAGAGATGTCACATCATGGTTTTATGCTGTTGCTTTTCATTATGAATGTTTAATTATGAACAGTGACTTTTGTAGATTTCAAATATACAGTACACAGTTGAGTTTCAGAGGATTTAATTTCTCGGTGTAAAGAGTTTTGTAATGGTGCTTTGTACAGTATGTATTCTAATTTTTTTGCACATAGTTTCAGTTTCCCTAAACTGATTTATTTTTACCAAATTTTTGTGTTGTACTAAAGTCCAGAGCACACAAGCTGTTTTTAAATTCTTGTTCTACAACACTACATCTGTATTGAACTTCTGGTGCGTTTAAACTAGCTGCATTGATGGAAGTAAAAGCTTTGCTTCTATATCATAAGTATGCATCATACAGCTTAATGTAGCATGCTTCAGATTTTAAACAGCACCATATAGTTAACAGGTGCCATTTGTTGTACTTTACACTATGTAGTAGGTTTCTGGCTCTACCACATCCTCAGAGCTTTGTCTGTAGCTGTAATTAGTTTATACAAGTGTAATTACTCCTCCACAAACTGACCGTTCTTAGTTTATCATTTCCATTGTATTTATTACAGAGTGTTTTAGCATTGATATCATTGTATTTTCACCCAGCTGTTACATGAGCTTTAACAAAAAAAAAATCTGTATAAAATGGTTTTTAAGTACTTAATGTATGTACCCATGCAGAAGTTGAGCAATAAATTGTATGCTGTTTGCACTGTCACAGCATCAATGGTTTAAAAAGTTTTAAGTGTTTCTTAATTAAACATTAAAATGTAACAAAAGCTTTTTTTCAGTAACTCAGCTTTGTCTCAGGAGAAAAAAATTCAGCTCTTAGTGTCTTTCTACAGGCTGCTACCTACAGTTGTACTAAATTGTGCTGAATGTCCTGGTTGAAAAAAATAGTCTTACTTTTGGCTTTCATGTTAATGGTATGTGTGTTTCTTGGAAAGGACTTCCTCTCAGTGTTAGTGAATGGATGTCTCCTCCAAAAAGTCAGCAAAAGCTAAACAACCTTCCTTATGGGAAGAAGAGGATAGAACTTGTAAATACTTGTTAAAATTTAACCTAGCTGGTAAATATTGTCCCTTAAATAGAGAGAGACTTGAAATTAACCTAGTTTTTAGTAACTCCTTGCAAATGGTTGTTAAAGTCAGGGTGTGTTTTTTTACGTGAAGTATATCATGCTTAAACTACCAGCTGTTTTGTTTAATCTGTAAAGGAAACATGTCCAGTTGTTTTTTTTTCCTGGCAGATTTTTTTCCCTCCAAGCATGAGACTTCACTCTGTTGTCAGTTCCGTAAGAGACACCATCTCATGGCAGGTTCTGACTATAAAATGCCATTCCATTATGTTTATATCACTTTTTTGCACTAGGCAATTACGAGCAAGAACTCCTGTACTAGAGCCTATTTTAAACTACTCTTTAGGTCAGCCTCGATACTGAGACTATTATAAAATTCCTATTGCCTCAAGCAGAGGAGAATATATCAGTAATCAGCTTTCCTAATTAGCAGTTTGTCTTTATGCAATTACTTCTCAGTTTAAGTATTCACCTGCGTATGTTTCCATCTCATAGGGTATGGCTGCTGAAACCTGAATTTTCTACTAAATGTATTACAGCAGAAGTAAGTGATGAGTCTGTGAAGATAGTTACAGTGACAATGTTAAAAACAGACCTTATAACCATGAAGTAAGGTAAAAGCTGAATGCTGGAATTTTTAATTGCTACTGGCTCTAACATCTTATGGCTGACAGAACTAGAATTACTCTGCCTCCACCTAAACAAAATCATAGGGTATTTTTGAGAAAAATAATGTAAGTACACATTGCTTTAGTCCAAACAATCAGCTTTTAAGACAACAAAATGATTGTTGTTAGTGGTTGTCTATTTGTATGTAGGGTTACCATGCTCACCTTTTGAAGTAGACCAAGTGAAGCAAAATGTTGCTTGTTTGTGCCTTGGCTTTTGTAGTTTTGAAACCCTGGTGTGAAATCCAGTGATCAAAACACCTACAACAAGGCCTTAAAAAGGCAGCACACCAAATACAGGTGACCTAACATGTAGCCCTCTCCCAGCAGTTACTGTAAGAAAAAAATTGCAGAGACTTAAAAATATGTACATAATTACATTCAAGGGGGACATACCATTAAGACGGCCATCCACAGGTCCCTCAAAGGATTCAGTTCTTGTGGAAGCTTGTATATCACTGCTTCCTAAGAATTTCCATTGTTTCCTATCTCAAGCAATGTTTTTTCCAATATATTTATAGTTTACATAATAGTCTTTTATATGGATTGCTATAAATAACAGCAATTATAAAATATGGTCTTCATTGCAAACAGTATTCTGTAATATAGGTAGCCTTCCCTTGAGTAATATATTAAAATTACTGATGTTTGTCAGGTTTATGGCAGCATTCTCTATCTCATCTTTCCAAAGGAAACGTGAAGTGTTGATATTGTTTTTGAGATCTTGTCTTTTTTGTCAGCTTTCTAACCCAGTTACTTCTGATCAATACTGTTAGTATGGCTTTTTAATTCCAGCAGTAGAATAAGCATAAGAATATAGGAAGGTTAGCATCAACTGTTTCACTGAGACAGCTTCACTAAAACACACGTGGCCTTCATCTTGTGATGAAGCCATCCTAGGATGACTTCATCCTACTTCTTCTGTGTTGAGTTCAACATTATCTCAGCCTTTCTAAGAAGATAGAAAGTACTTTAAAACTTTATTGATGATCATAAAAGTGCTCAAAGTTCCAGACACCAGCAACTACCCCTCCGACCCGTCAAGATGACAGATCTGGTCTTAGAGAACAACAGCTACACACCATCTTCTTGTTACAGCAGTTCTTAAAGATTCCCACCAGCTTAGCCAGACAGCTGCAGTGATATTTACCATGTCTTATGAGAAATTGCTTTTGCTATACTGAAAGGAAGCCATCTGAAGTCGAGATTTCAGTCTGTCTGCTTCTAGTTCTTGAAAAAAGGTGTCATCATCATTTTGCATTATTGCAGTTTGCAGTTGTTGTATTTCCTTTTCCATCCTTGATCTCAATTCTCTTTTTGTTTTCTGCAGCATCTGAAGAAAATACAAGTATTAACCATATCACAGAAAGAAAGAAAGAAAGTAACTATATAAAATTGAAATCCTTACTTGTGCTTGTGCTTTCTCTCTGGTTTGGATTTCTTGGCGTTCTTGAGATAAAGCTTCTGCTAGCATGGAAAACTTAAGCATAAAGAATGTTTGAGTTGAACCAATTAAAGGAATGGCTTTTAGTATTTAAAATATTAACTGGCTATTTTTGCTGATTAAACTTACCTGATCTTTGTAATAGTTCTCCATGGACTCTAACTCATTTTGATGCTCTCTTCTTTGCTCAGCACGCATCTCTTGAGCATATGCTCTGAGGTCCTTTAGTCTTTGCTTCTGAATTTCTAAGCCTTCTTCAAATAAGTTTTTAAATATCTGCCAACAATTAAAAAAGCAAACAAAATTTTCCCAGAAACTTACAAAAGCTTGGTTGTTTTTGGAATTACTAAGCTTTTCTGAATATAAGGCTTAGATCAACCAATTTAATTTGAATAAGATACTTTTAAGTATATATTAACATTTTCAGCTGCTTTATCTCATAATGAAAGAATGATCACAAGATAGGGTCATTGCCTGTGGAAAAGTATAGTAAGTATTTTGTACTGGTGGCACAGACAAGCTGAGTTGTACTGGTAGTATTAACTTAGCTGGAATTTTTAGATAAAAGTAAATTTTTCATCTGTTCAGTTAGATTAATAAGAAAGTGACTTGAACAGCAAATATTTATTGAGTTCTAAAAGTACTTCATAAGATATGACAATATAAGCCCAACTCTGAATGTGCACTGTGAATACAGCCCACCCTGTATTCTGCTGTCTAACTTAGGGACCTTCATCCAGATTTCCCATAACAGGAAATCCAGCCTGTACTCAAGCTTTCCATTCATACGAAAGAATACTTAGCAGCTACACTACTGCAGAGCTTGAGAGGCACAGGTCTCAGATTGCTAAAAATGGATTATGCACTAAACTTATAGAATATAAAATGTGAGAATTGTGCATTTACTCCTGTAAAATATACCAACTGTTTGCTTACTTTAGCTCTCTGATGTGCAGCCCTGAATAGAGACCATCTGTCAAGAAGTCCACTTTGTCTAACAAACATGAGTGAGTGGTTTTTGATCAGTTTCCTTAACTGAAGATTTAGGGTATTTCCTTTGGGGAGTAGCTATAGGAATTTCTTAATTGTACTGTTTCATGAAACTTCATTTCCCCAATTTGTCATGTTACCAGCCCTGTTTTTCCATACGGACACTGACCATTTTTCTCCTTTGCTTAACCCCACCAACCATCCTTTCTTGTATTACAGTGGCCTGCCTTAAACTGTATCAGTGTTTCCAAAGAAGGAACCTTTTCAGCTGTGGCTTTGACTACCTAACCACTTAATCCGGGCTCCTAAATTCTGTTCGCTTAACTTGCTCTCTGTCTACTTGTACCATTACCTCAACTACAATAACGCCAGTTCTCAGCACCAGGGTCCAACCAATAGAGAAGAATTCCACACTTGAAAAGCAAGACAGACATCTTGTACTTACCCTTTCTTCCCGTGTCCTAGCCCGCATCATCTTGGCACGCAACTGGACCCGGTAATCTTCATAGTATTTCCTGGCTCTAACAATTTGTTGGCGTTTTTCTTTCACCTTATTCTGAGCCCATTTCTGTCGGCAGATACGTTGCTTAAATTCTTGCTAAGTGGAGAAAGTAGAGGTAAGACCACCAAGCTTTTAATAGATTTTCTGCAAGCAAAGCTTTGTTAATTATTTCTAATAAGTTGGGTCCCTTTTAAAGGACTGTTTCCCTACCCCAATTTTAAAGTTTTAAACCATAAATGCAGTGTAATTAACACTGATTTAGCAAACTGCTGCCATGAACAGTACTATATAGTTAAGCAGCCAACGCTGCAGTGGTTGCTGGTGTTTTTAACAATACCAGGAGCCTGAAATTCTTCCTCCTTGCATGTTCTCAGGATTTTATACTTGTAAGGCAACAGCGCAATGTAATAATAGTATTCCATTTGCATGACCTCAGTGACCACACAGCAAGCAGCAGATTGTGGCATTTGAGACCATAGCTACTCAAGAGACAAAGTTATAAAATAAGAAACAACTTTCATGGACCAGGGAGTATGCATTCTAGCTAGCTCAACATGCGAGTTTCCAAATTACATAACAAATACCATTCAAAGAACATACCAGTCTCTTGTTATGGTCTTGATCTTTTTTAATAATTGCAACAAGAAGCTCATGCTTCCTCAGGGCTTGTTGAACCTGGAGTTTTTTTAAAAAAAACAAACAAACAAAACCAACCAGTTACTTCCATCATTCTGCAGAACAGACATTTGTGCGTAGGAGTTTTAAGATAAATATTGCCCCTCTGCTATGCTATTTATATTGAGAGTTACCAGGCATAAGGTAAACAACTAATGTTGTGGATACCTTTTAAGCTACAAGACTGTTGAGAATTTGTACTTAAAACTACAGACTTCTTTTTAAAAAAAAAAAAAAAAAAGTTGAGCCCAATTGTCTAGGTGTGTACATCCCCTATTCAACCAACCTCCTCATCTTAGGAAGAAGGTATTTCTTCCCTTGAACAACTGCTTCTAAGACTAAATGAGTATTATTTGGCTTAACTTTATTCACTGTAGTTGCACATGATGTCTTGTCAGAAAATAGGTCTAAGAAATCTTTAGCAGAGATTTTATAAAACCTGGAGTTACAGTAGTAAAAGCAGTTTTACTATAGACACTGTATGCAGTTAATTGAGCTTGATCAGATTTCAAGGCAGAGTTTGTCTACATTACTGATGGCATTGATAACAGTACTTTAAAATGCACCTAGCTCATATCATATTTGTAATAGAAATGCAAGTCTAAAGAAGCAGTATCCACGTTCTGTATCTCAAAGCTCAGATATACATCCTTTCACATTGTGCTTTGGATGCATGTGTACCCTAGCTATGCTACATATAGAGAGCATATATCATTTATTATGAAATACAAACTGATGAATACTACTGTTCTGTGAGAAGTTCTGTCCTTGCTAACACTTAAAAGGTAAGAATAAGAATGTTCACCTCATTTTGGAGTTTTAGCTTAGCTCTGCCAGAAGCTGCCTTAAGTTGTTCAGTCTGTGCAAGTTGCTGACGCCACATTTTATTCATCATGTGGTTGGAAATATGCAGGTGGGGAAACTCTTCCAGTAGCTGAAGCAGGAGGTCATCATCTCTTACTTCCACTACAAGGTAAAGACAGATGTAAACAATAAATTCCTGGAGAATACATTTAGTGGTAAAGTCTTCCAGACGGTGTCAGCCTAAGTTACAAAATATTTCAAATTGAACAACACTGTATGCAACTACCATGCTGTTACTATGATGTCAACTTAAACCCAGGAGGACATAGCATCACTCTGTCAGAACAGCAGCTGAGAAAGTAAGTGGCTTTTTTTTTTTTTTCTCTGGTGAAGAATTGCTTTTATAGCTCAGGTTTGATTTCTCTCCCTCTTACCATGTTTAATCTGATTTAGACAGGTATCCTTTTCTTTTTTCAAATGGTTCAGATGATCACTAATTAGCAATTACTTTCTTTCCATCTCTCACTGGCTGCAGCAACTTAATGCTAATATAGCAGTAGCAGTGAGAGAGCCAGATCAAATAAATAGGTGGAAAACAAACCGAATCATCACAGGACGGCTTGGGTTGGAAGGGACCTTAAAAAGCACCTCTTTCCAAGCCCCCTGCCATCGGCAAGGATGCTACCTACTAGATCAGGTTGCCTCATCCAACCTGTTTTTGAACACCTCCAGAGATAGGGCGTCCGTAAGTTCTCTGGGCAGCCTGTTCCAGTGTCTCACCACCCTCTGAGTGAAGAATTTCTTCTTAACATCTAATCTAAATCTCCTCTCTTTTAGTTTAAAACCACTTCCCTTAGTCCTATCGTTATATGCCTGAGTAAAAGGTCATTCTCCAAATTGTTTTGCAACCAGTGCACTCATTACTTCTTTGATCTTCGTGGCAGGAAAAAGTTATGGGGAAATTAAACAAGTGGGTATTAATCAAGTACATGCCTCTTAAACACTCAAAAAGAAAAAAAGCAGTATACCTGAGCAACATTTGGGTACACTGGAGATTATACCGTGACCTTATATATAAGCATGCATAATGCTGTTTGACTGACTGAGTCTGTGATTTGTGTTGGCTGTTCTTGGAACATCACTTGCTCAGCAAAACCAGTGGCAGCGTTACTGCTACAACAGTAGGGTCTTTTCCTACCAAACATTCTGCTCTATTACCTGCACATGGCTCAGCACCAGCCCACTCAAGCTACAGGCCCAAATTTAAATCTAATACATGTTCAGGAAAAAAAAGGGAAAAAAACAAAACAAAACAAACTGAGCTCAGAGTATAGTGGAGCAAGTACAGGAGTAGCAGTAATGGAAACAAGCATTGAAAGTAATCCAGGGGATTTTAAGGAGGTAGCAAATGGGTCACAGTTTTGAATTGTGCATGGGTGGTTTACATTTACTTAAAGCATTATCTTCCCTAACAAAAATCCAGACATATGGAGGTCATAAGAAGGGGAAAATGCTACAGCTGACTGGTATATGTTGGACCGATGCCTTTATTCTTGGAGTTCAACTAATGCTTTCAAAGGATGCCAGTTTTCCACCAAGTATAGTTTTGCATTTCTTACTTGGAGCTGCTTTCTTTGGCTTCACAGTCCCTCGTTTTGGAATCCACTGGCTGTATCTGGGATTCCGAGGTGTGGTTTTTCTAGAATAAACTTTCACTGGCTGAGGCATTTTTGGAGGTTCTTTAAAGATGTTTTCTTTGTATTCTTGTTCCTTAGGAGCAGATGTAAAACAGATGGAGAACAGGTATGAGAAGGGAAAGACTGATAGATCACATAGTTTGGATATCAGAACTTAAATGGCTTTGAAACTGTAGAATGAGAAATTGGACATACTGAATTGGATTCTCCAGAAGTCGAGAATTTACCAAATGCAGGCCAGGGTTCAAATAAAGGTTAAATCTCACTATTGCATAACCTCAGTTCTTCTGCAGCACTTAGCATTACCGCAGCAGCCTATGGATCGCTTCTGCAAAGGCTGTGAAAATGGCCAGTGCATCCCACACGAGGATGACACAGCTTACCAGCTTAAGTTCCTTGCTGTTCCAGTAGTATGCAAGTAAGTAGCAAGACCCCCCTTTGCCAGATTCATAGCAGCAGAGATTCATCCTTGCACAAAAAAAAATGACTTTTACAGTAGCTGGAAAAAGATTATGACAATATTTTCCCATAATTACCTGTACTGTATGGGGGATCCAACCGGATCAACCTAGCTCTTAAGGGGATTGGGGGCAGGTATGACGAAGTACCTATCTGAGAAGGCCTGCAATATCTCACTACTCAAACGTTTTCTTGGAATGATCACTAGCACTAACACTACTTTTCAAATCATCACGAGAAGTTTCCATAGGCTGGCCTGAACTATCTTCTTACTTTGCTTCAGTTCTTTAAATCAGAGTCTCTTGAAGTTATCACTTCATGTAAAAAGTACGGTGGTTAAGTTACCCCTAAGAATAATACCTACAGATGTTGAAACTTGAAAAGATGTCCCTCTGCTCACTATTTGAACAGCATACAGCACAGTAACTGACACTAGAGTCAAGGTGTTTCTGTATTCATGCCATGCACAGTGTCTAGATGGAGCATTTAGACAAATTTTAAGATAACAAGCACCACAGTGCATTACATACCATTTCCTTGACTTCTTCTCTGAGTTTGGAAATTCTAAGCCTCTCCCTAGCTTCATAAATTCTTAGTTCATCTTCATAAGCTTTAGCAACCACCTAGAAAGCAAAAATAAGAGGATTTGCAAAGCAAATGACCAATCCATATGACTATGTCGTTAACTTCTCAGTGTATGGGTCAAAATTGATTCTTCCGCATATTTTTTTTCTTTTTGCGGCAAGATTTGGGCTCTACATCTCTTCTTAGCAGTCTACCAATACAGCAGTACAAAATCACAAGTGTCTGCAGTAAGTAAGGACATTCAGTTTTAATACTTTTAGTATAACTACTGGTAAGAATAGTCGATAGGTCTAACCCTGAAGTTACCTTTGCTTCTTGTGTTCTTTCATCCTTTTCTTTTTGCAGTTGGTTACATATTTTCCTCATTTGCCCTTTTCCATTACTGTGAAGTACATCTAACTCAGAAAAAAGTTGACGCTGAGATGAGGGTGAGGACGGAGACAAGGATCGTGGCCTGACTGGGTACTTCGTATGTGGTGTGTCTGTAAGGAGAGTTGTTGCATCAAGTGTTTAACTTGAAATGAAAAAGCCTCCAGCCACGTGTAAGGAAAAATAAAGCTTGGGGTTTTGTTTTTTAAAAAAGGCACACACACCAAAAATCTTTCCACAGCAGAAAAGTTCAAGTGTTTAGCACAAATTAAATCATAAAAATCTAAAGCCTTTGCTTTTAGGATTATCCCTGCCCTGAATCACATGTGTTGGGGCGTGTATAATAGCAGAAGTGCCAGGAGATATTCAAGATAGGAAAGGATAAAGCAGCAAAAACATTTGAAAGTAACTCAAGGTCAGAGACTGACAAGGGTCATAAACAGCTTCATCTTGCAACATGATGTTGTACATGTGGATTAGATCAAGTTATGTGATAGTGTTTTTTTTCTTAATCTCCTGTACCTATAAGGGTAGTTATATAATTGTATTGCTACCAACACACACTGCCTGGTGTAAGATAACTAGATGTGTATGTTGTGTTCAGTACCAAAGAAAGCACAGTAAAGTGTATTGTGAACAAGCCCTCACTTTAAAGTCACAGTTCTGTCAAATGCACTTGTGTGTTCTGTCTCTTGCCCCACTTCCTGTACGCTTTTCACTGCAGCTGTATTTGCCTTGTATTTCTGTGGAGTTTTACCATAGCTACTTAAACCATTAAATGGGAACTTAATTGTAATTCTATTAGTGTTGCTCAGATTTGGATCTAAAACAGAAAATACAAGTCAAAGAGCACAATACAAAACTTAGGGAAACTAGGTGTAGTTCAATGCATCGGCTTTGACGAGTAGGGTTTGTGGTGGTTTTTTTTTTTGATGTTCCTTTCCATCCTAATACTTAAGCATCATAAGAGACATTACCTTGCTTAGTTTTCCTTCTGCGATAATCCATGACACTGTCACTGTGCTGAGACAGGTTGTCTTCGTCTGTCAACTCCTCTTCTCTGGCATGCCCACCCAAAGCTCTCTTTAACATCTGTTGGATAGATTTGGGGGTAAGAGGGTGTGGCAGGACTTAGGTTCAATAGTTCATTCAAAATTTAGAACTGTCAAGTCAGGTGTTAACTGAAGATTTTCTTTTCATTAATATTAAATGTATATTCTTGTTTCCAGCTGTTACTTCTAAGGACAGTTTGCTTGGATACAACAAAGATTTCACTTACTAAATCTAGTTCATTTAACCTGCGAGAAAGTTTTTCTGATACTTGATGAAGCTCTTGCTTAGATAGATTTTCTTTTGTTGTTCTGGGGGAAAGAGACTCTTCAAGTGAATCTGTGGTAGAATTTTCAAATCTGCTAAAACAAAACAGAGATTTCATTTCTATTTTAAAAACTTATAGATAAGCATTACCTCATACAATTCCAGTTCACTTTTTGTATAAGCACATTTTTATAGGATTAAGTAAAATCTGGTTGTGTAAATAACTGTATTTAAGAAAATGTGTATGTGACAGAAGTAGGAAGGATATTTGTTAAAATTAACCTTTCACTGTCGTGCAGCCAAGGAAGAGACTGCATTAAAAAAAAAAAAAAAGGTGGTGGGCGTTGTATAGGAAAGTGCTTGCTTGGATCAGTAAAAGGAAAACTGAACTTGCCTTTTCTTTCTAGGCAGATGCCTTGATTGAGGTCTTGGAGTCTGTGCTACTTGCTCAGTATGTAGTGAGAATTTTTGATCTAAGGGAGAAGCAGATGTAGAAGTCCCATATACCCAAGGAACCTAGAAAAATGATTAGTTAAGATTTTATTAAGGTTTCCACAATAATGCTCAAAAATACCATAGATCATGGTGGTAGGGAGACCCTACAACAGCTTTTATAAAAGAACCACCTCAAATCATATAATCACATAATATATATATATGCATACGCATTTTATATATGCTATATATAAATTTAAATGAAGTAGTTACATGTCCATGACCCCTGACTTGAAGATACTGTGTTTTAGAAAGTTAGATGTTTAAAGAAATAAGCTAGCAAAAATATAGATTAGTTTAAGGATCATCTGGAGCTAAACCACCATGTCAGAAGAATGAAGTCTAGATATCAGTACCCTTGTATGCTACCTCACTAGCTTGGGACTAACGCTAAGTAATGCAAGTAAGCTGAACTTCCCTGAGTATGGTCTAAGCTGCAAACATACCAAAAGAAATCAGTTAGGCACTTATGCCCTTATGTCATTTAATTACAACAGTTCGGTATTGCATGGTAATTGATCTGTTCAAACTGGAATGTTCAGGGTTAGCATACATACACTTGCAAATGCACCAATGGAAAAATAATTTTAAAGACAATGTTTTAAGCAGACAATGCAAAAGGCAAAAGTAAAGACTATTGAAAACAGCCTTTGGAACAAATGAAGTCTGCGAGTACCTCTTGTGGCTGCAGAAGGCAAAAAAAAAAAAAAAAAAAAAAAAACATTTCCAGAGCAGGCAACTTCCTACACAGACATGCTTCTACAAGCACAGAATGGCATCTGCTGATGAGTTTGTAGGTTTTGCATCATTCGGTTTTTGAAAAGCAGGGGACAATACAAGGAAATAAAAAGCAAGTATCCAAACAGGCAGCTCAGTGAGCTTTAGAAAGGGAGCAAAATCTAAATTTTACTGGCATCTGAATAACCCCAGAAAACAAAAATTCTTACTAATTTAGAATACTGATACGCTTCAGAGAAAGGAAATGTCCTCTTGTGTTTTATATGTCTCTGAATAAAAACAAGATAACTAGTAGCTGTTTCTTATGAATTGAAACACAATAGGTACTGGCAATTCTACCTCTTGGAGCAAACAACTCCTGAAAGAATTGATGCGACTTAAAACTTTGTGGTCACAGTATAACAACATTGCATTACTAATTGTATAATGAAGCGAGAAGCCCAAAAGCAGGTTTGAAGAAAGCTCTGAAGTGCCACAAAATAACAAAATAATTGTGTGATTCCAAATGCATTGACTGAACTTCCACAAAGATGGTAAAGATGCAACATTTACCTTTGCCATGTTGTTTTCAGCACCACTTGAGACCATCTTGTCTCCTGCTGCAGAAACATATGACAGGTAAGTGTTAGTTGATAGCGTAGACCACACTGTGCCTACTAATGTACAGAACAACTACAAAAAAGATGCAATCCATAGCTTGTTGAACCAAATCATTCCAAGAAAACATAACGAACAAGGCAACTGTGTTTACAGTGTTGTGACATTCGTTTCAGTAATTTCTCAATTTCTGGATTTTCAGTGCCATGGGAATGCTATGGAAACTAAGAAGGCAACTGGTATCTCCCAGACAACAGAGCAAATAAGCACTGAAAACCAGTTTCTAAATCTTTTATACAATAGCAGTTTAGAACTTTTTCTTCAAGCTGAAAATGGCTTATATTTGGACCATGTTCCTCTGCTCAGAGTAAGCTCAGCTATATGAGTTATCTGCTGGAAGCAAATTCTGTAGCATAGGCACATCTAATTGGATTAACTAAGAAAGAAGTTGTACTGGGAACAAGTTATTTTTCTTGAGCAGAATGAACAGTTTGAAAGTAATCTATTTTTTTCTCTCTATATAAAACAGAGATAGAAACATGAACTTGTGGCTGAATTTAAAAAAGATGCACTGGTAGTTTCAAAACCATGTTTCTCATAGTGCCAATAAAATTAAAAGCAACGTTTGACAAAACAGAGTTGTTCTATGGGAAGCAAAATTCTCTCTCACCAGGGATTTTCCTTGATAGAGGAAGACTACTACAGACATCTTCAGTTTTTTGTGTAAGTGATGTTTCAAGCTGAAAGAAAAATTGACCTGGTTTATATGAATTTACAGGAAAGTTTTGACAGCAAAGTTGCACATTAGATTTGTCTGAGTATGGCAAGCAATGCTCATTTTATTGGTAGCAATACAGAAAATGCAACTATCATTTTATTGCTTACCTCACTGTTAACTGTGCAGTTACATTGATTTTGGACATACATGTATAACTCCATGTATGATTATGGAGGTGCATATATATGTATCTCCATGCGTAAAATATAAACACCCCCACACTCAAATTAACTTCCTGTCTGGACCACTCAGTGATGAATGAATTTAAAACCCATTTTTAGATACATTCAGAAATGTTTTTCAGGTACCAATTATTCTCATTCTGCAAATATACTAGACAGTTTTAAAAGGAAAGCAGTATTAATTAATAAAAATCAAAGGATGGGTTTCTACTTACTGTAGGAGTTTCCAGTTCTTGACAGTTAACCAAAGCTGATGACTGGCTGGCTGAGCTCTGATAACGTCTCTCCACAGGATCATGAGATCTGGCTTCAGCAGGCTGAAATGGTGGTAGCAAGGGAATAGCCTGGCGTATAGGCTCGCCAAGTTTCTTAGCACTGGAACTCAAACCATCTTTTTGAAGTTCATCAGTATGAACAAACCCCATTGAACCTTAAGAGACAAATATAAAGAACTTGAAGCATTATCTAATCTATTAAAGCAGAATGTTATTTTTAATATATTCTACATATATTAGATGGATGTTTAAGTATCTAATGGTAACTACAATCTTTGTTGGATTACACAGAATAGCACTGTAAGATTTTTATGCCTTTTTATGGTACTTTTTTTTCTCTGTTTACAAAGTTGCATACTGCAGGCCCTCCTTGTTTTACCACTTCTCGAAGAGCATCATGTTTTTCCATGACTGTAGAACATATTGTTCTCATACTTCAAGAATGTAGCTATATGCCTACCTGGTAAATACCTTTTGATTGGGTGTTATTTTCCCCAAAAAGATGGTCATTTGAGACACATGCTGGGGAATTCCTAACAACTTGCAGGAATTCTGAGCATTGACAGAGCCATACTCATTAGAGGCCAGGGACAACTGAAGATGGCTGCCATCTGTCAGAATGATTCACCCAAGACAATCTATTCATAACTGTCCTTAAGAACAGCATGAAATCCCCCTGTAGAACATGATTTTGGATGCTAGAATCTTCCAGGAGAACTTTTTACTTTCTGTATTTCACAAATTGAACCACAAAAAGGGGAGGGAAAAAAAAAAAAGAGCTGAAGCTGAGCTGATACCTAGCTAAGCAGAAATACCCTAGACTACGTGAACTTCTGCCTCTGGGACAATAAAATATAAAGCATAACATTTCTGAAGAACTTGATTTATTTATTTATTTATTTTAAATATAGCTAGAGCGCTTCTAGCCATGAGTAAAGCTCTTCTCCACGTTCCCTTAGTCAGAATCAGGTAGGTTAGATGTGGAGACTGGGCACTTACCATCTTCTTTTTCCTTCACAATGGCCTTTTCAGCTTGAGAGAACTGTCTAGATACTGTTGCAATAACCTCTGAGTTTTTCAGTTCTTCTATATCCTTTCTCACTTCTGCTGGTAACAATTCAGGAAACTGGAATTCTAGACGTGGTGTTTGAAAAAGATCAAATTAAAAACTATAAAGCATTTTGTTATGAGATGTTTAGACAGACAACTTTCTTATTAGGTATAATTAGTAACTTGACCTCAGTGATCCATACTATGACCAAATGGCAAGCATTAAAATAAGTCTGACTTAATGCCTACTTGTACCTTCATTCTCTAATACTAATTCATAGTATTTCTTTATGCTTCCACTTGGAAAAATTAGTCACCAATAGGAATGTCACTGAAATAGGAATGGGCTCCATTTAAATGATCTGCATATTATTTGTTCAAGAGCCATCCATAATATTACTAAGTTACCCACACTTCTAACATCTCCTTTAAAAATGAATGTAAAATTGTCATTTTACAATTTTAAATAATACTCTTTACACTGCAAATTAAAAGCTTCAGAAATCTCTTAATCTTCTGGGAAAAAAAAAATCTTTGTAGGGAAGACTGAATTAGAAGTCAAACAACAAAACCTTTATTCAGGTAACATAGCTCAGCAGCCATGAAAAAGTCTCAAACATCTACTCTAGGAAATCCACATTCTAACTCCAACAAGATCAACTGCAGGTAGGTACTTTCCTTACTGTATGATTTTTATTTTTTATTTTTTGAAAAATAAGAATTTAAGATAGTATTTTTTTGGAATAACATTAAATAAAAAGGTGAAAAGTGCTGGTACCTCAAGCCTACATAACAGTTGTTTAAAGGCTATGCATTGTTCTTTAAATGTATATTTCTATATATGCATAAGTATGACTTATCAGAAGCATAAATACTTAAATTTGAGGGAAGTTTCAAAAGAAAGGGACGTTTGATTTTGTTACTTATTTACTGTGATTCATTGACATATTTAAACTGCCTAACAGTTTTACTATCTGCAAAGCCTATAAATATTACTATAGATTATTTTTTTTAAATATATATTTACCCAAACTCACCTTCCCCTCTCTCTGAGAATGAATGAGCAGTATCTCCAAGTCTAATTAATTCACTGGTAGATTCTGATCCATCTACATCATGGGACCGAATGAAAAGTTCTGACTGGGAACTAAAAGGAACATGAAGTGGTAAAATATTTACTCTAAAAGTCTTTGCCTCTTCAGTCCACAAGGTGGAGCTGCAAAAGAGTCCCAGCTCTACTTCAGTTAGCTTCTATAGCACAGGACATCAGAGGCCTGCTTCCACAAAACAAACCAATGCAGAAGTCATAAAGATAGATCTAATGCAGTTTAACTAAAATGTGATCATTTAAAACTGAGACAAAGTTTTGAACCAGTCTCATTTCACATGCAAAGTAAGATTAAGGGAAACAAAATGCCATCAGCATTCTTCATAGACAAAAAAGTTCTAGACATCTCTTGTTGCCTAACCAGAAAGATGTAATTAGTATATTTCCTACTTGCATAGTATTGAAAACTACTAGCTGTTCTATAGATATACAAAAACAGTAGTCAATTACTGTATAAATACTTCAAGTGTTCAAAGTTATTCTTACCCTGAAACTGATGAAAGTTTTGAAGGCAGCGTAAGTTGACCACCATTGCTTTCCAGCTGCTCTGGAGATACGACTTGAATTTTGTTATTGGGCGGCTCATTTATCTCAACTGTTAATAATAAAGAGGCATTAATTTTCAGGAAAACTAATTCTATGCATAAACTAACATATTATTACCAATATTATCAAAATAGTTTAAGAGTAATAAAACATAATAAGGATGATATCTAAAATTATGACCTATCTTCTTCCTCAAAATTAAATCCTGTATTTATAACTAGAAAAATCAGAACCCCTACCACACAAGTGAAGCAGAAAGATGACATTCTCCAATTCTCACCTTTTAACAAGTTTTGGGAAAAAATATATTTTTTTTCATAATTACTGCTCAAGAAAACACTGAATGTAGTTACTCAGTTTGGCCTCCAAATTCCAGCCCTCCCCCCCTGTGGTCAGTGTCAGTCTCTCTCCTCTTCTGCGTTGCCATGGTCATAAAGATGGCAAAAACACCAAAGAAATCTTTGTTACATTGGAAATACTTTTTTTTGATCTTGGGCACCCCAAAACAAGGCTTCACAAAGCTTGCATTTTCCAGTGGTAATCATTCCCTGTAGGTGCTATTGAGGAGAACAGAAAAGGAACAGTTTTTATCTACTCTGGGAGCTGTATTCTGTCCATGAGTACCGAACTGTGAAGAACTCTGGTCACAAGAACTTCAAGCCCTTGGCAAGCTGACTTGATAGCAAACAAACAGAAAAAAAAAGTTAGCAGCTGTCTATAATACTGTATTATCAGAACACGATACCCTAAATTTGGACATCTGTCTACTCACTCACCTCCATTCTGAGAAGAGGATTCACTGACTTCTTCTGTAAGATACTCTAATAAGCCATCAAATATTTCAAGGAGGTTTTTGATAGATTCCCTTTCTCCTTTCACAATGTTCTCACCTTAAGAGAAGGTAGTGCCACACATTAATAATCAGTACTTCTACTAATTATTAGAATAAAAATAAGTTTGTAATTCTTAAAAAAAAAAAACAAAAAACTTTTCTGAAGACTGGAAATTCTTGTGAAGGTGTCAGCTCAAAGAAAAGCTGGCCACTCGTGTATGGCTACATGCATAAATTTAATATATCTTAAAAGCATCCTAAAATTGCATATTTTCAGTTCTACTAATCAAAAGCTTACTGATGCTACAATTACTTCCACAAAAAATAATAATAGCACATACACACACACAAATATATATCTAAAATACACAGGGATATTCTCAGAGAGGGACGCTATTACTATGCACTTAGGCATGTTAGCGACAGCATCAACCAAGTCTATGAACTGGCAGGAAGGATTACAAATATCAGCTATACGGTACTGTATAGTTACCAAGATAGAAAGAGTTATTTCATGTCAAGCAGTTTTCATTCTTTGCAGGCTATGTTATTCAAGGCTATACATATGAATACTCAAAGTGATCATGTGTGTAAAGGACAGACACGATGTGGTCCAAATCTTATACACATCAACTATTAGAATTTGATATCAAGTTCGAAATTCAAGGCTCAGGTTTTAAAGCTCAGTTTCCAAGCTTAACTGTAAAATTCTATGATTCTGTGAAAATATTGAGCCAGTAAAAACTTCAGGTAGCGCTTTAGCAGACTAAGTGAGTATTACTGTTAACTTTCATGTTTCCTACAAATCTGTGTTATACAAGAGGACTCATATTTATTCTTGACTTTCTGTCTAAGTGTATAACCTGATGTCCACAGGAAGGATTCGGTGTTTTGATGACAGTCACTGCAGGTGAAAAGATCCTGCTTTGTAACATATGGTTCTTATAAAGTATTCAATTAAAACAAACATTCAGCTAGTGCTTGTCAATATTAAAATGAGTACTCACCGGTGATATGTGACAAGCTGACCTGCAAGTAGTCCAGTGCTAGAGAATCAATTACCGCTTGTACATTATGTGCATCATCCTCTTGAGTTCTAGGAGTAGCTATGAAATCTATTTAAAACAAATGCATACCTTTTAGGCTACATAAATAGATAGTTTATTGCTTATATTTTTACTAAAATATTTTTACTTTTAAAATACTAACTTGTAAGTAAAAATTACTTGTGTATTTGGTGAAAAAGCCCAATAATCATATGTTGTATGAAATCTTTAATAAAAACTAAGCACAAACATGGAATACCCACTGGAAGGTGTGAGGATTTTATCAGCTGTGATACTGAATACAAAAATAGGGACTAGTTATATAGTTTTTCTCCTTCACTCCTAGCACACATATCTAGTGAACATCATTAAATTTGAATTACAGTTTGCCTTAAGGTCTTTTCCTTCTCTGTCAGCAACTAGCAGGACAGTCTTGTATTCTACTTAATTGGGAGCAACATTAATTATTTTTAGTTTTGGGCTTATATTAACAGAACTTCTACCTCCAACAGCTGGCATGTAGGTCAGTGCTATTAAATCTCCTGCAGCAAGGAGATGCTTGATGCTCCCCAAACAAAATAGTTTACCATAAAACAAGCAAATATGTAAATGTAACTCCTGAACAATTGTCACTGTAGTAAAACGGACATGGGCTAAACAAGAGTTAAATTGCAGTTTCTCTTAGCAGACTAGGTACTAAGCATTTTATAAGAACAGGATTTGATAGTAATGCTGTTTTAACAGAAATGAGTCAATTCACACCCTTCACAGGTATTAGCTTCAAGGCATAATTTTCATTAGAAAACATTCTACTGTAGCTGTATTACTGAGCTTCCCTTGCAGCTGCTGTTAATAGCAGTAAAAAAAAAGTGTTACTTAAATCTGTTCAGAGAGTGTCTTATGTGTTTGTCTTAGAAATGATACAATACTTTAAAAACCCTCTATATGTAATAAATACATTGTGCAAACTTGAATTTGTTCATTACAAAACATGCAGAGACAAGAAAAAGCACGTTTAGAAATTAATGTTCCCACCTGGTACTTTTTCCCCCAAGACTGATTCATAAAGACGAACAAACACATCAGCACCACATTCCGAGAGATGCTTTATGTTCTGGGTTATGTGACAGCGCCTTAAAAGTTCATTGGCAACATCAACCCAATCTATTAAGAAGTAAAACAGATTAACAACAGAACTGAAAGACACATAAATAAATACATGGTTACAGTGAAAGAAGTGGTTTTGACTCCACCATACATGGTTGATCACAATCACACTACCTCGATCACCCAAAGTATTGAACCCGTGCTATGCTTTCTGTCCCACACCCGATTTCCTCCACCCACACACAGCATGAGGGATGGCACATGCCGCTATCTGCTTCAAGTACACAGCTGGAGCACAGCTGGAGCAGAGAGCCAAAGGGTACTTATGTATTAAGTACCACGGACTAGGCAGGCATTTTTCCTCCCAAATAAAGAAAAGCAAATTTTGATCTGGATGAGTAACTAGGAATTTCAACCTTGTACAACACGATAAAATAAGCATGGATGTTCCTTTATAAAGAATCAGAAATGACATCCACTTATAAAAAAAAGCACACATCCTATAAACCCAGTTTTTCTCACATCCTTAGGCTATGATAACACTAAGAACATATGTATTTTTCATGGAAGTTTAAATTCAAGGACCATTTTTTTCAGCTTGCTGTTTAAGGATTACAAGAATACGGAGTTACTTCACTCCAGTGAGCACAGTAAGAGATGGATGCACACAGAGCTGGATTTTTCCACAACTTTTGAGTACTGAATTCAAAGTGCTCTGAGAGACATGCTTTCTCTACAGATTTTTTTCTTCACCACCCAATTCAAATATCACCTTGGAAGAGAAAGTCTTCTTGTCTGTTTATCTCTATGATATCTTAAGATGTTTTTCCCTAGTTGTTGTTTTTGCAAACAATACAGTGTTTTTAGTAAGTACTGTCAAGGACTTCAAGTTACCAGAAAAGTGGTAAGACATTTTTTGAAGAAAAAAGAAAATGCAGGGTTACTACAACAGAGACTGCTTTGTACTGTTTTTCTTATAGAGGCAGGAAGAACAACTTTTCTGTCTCTTCACATAGTTCCGGAAATCACTTTACAGTAACATTTTATTAACTTTAAAAAAATAATAATGAGAGTTTCGAGGAGCATCCCCAGATCAGCCGGGCAAGCTCTAGAAAGCCTCAGCTACCGTTCACCTCCAGCTTCTGTCTGAACTTGTCGCCAGAGAAAGGTGGGGTGAAGGCTATAAAATGCTTAAAAACCCATGACACAAGGAAAAAAAAAAAAAAAAAAAAAAAAGCTTTAAGCGACGTGACGTCTGAACGGAACGGAAGGCGCTGCTATAAGGCCTAGTGCTGCCTCAGCCGTGAGGCCAACCTCCCCGCGAGGCCCCCTCAGGAGGGGCCCGCGGGCGGGAGCGGGGCTCCCCCGGCCGCCCCTACCTGCCCGCTCGGCGCTGCCCATAGCCGCCCCTCAGCGCCGGCCGCCTCCAACGGCCGCTGCGCGCTTCAAACGGCGCCTCCCGGCAGGCCCCGCGCTCACCGGGCGGGCGGGGCCTGGCGTTACCGGGCCCTGTGTGTACGGGGCTGTAGGGGCGGTGTTGTGGCAGTAGCCGCGGTCGCTGTGGAAACAGAGCCGGGGGAGCCTGGGCTGGAAGCCAGGCCGCAGGGCGGGGCGCGGCCCCTTCTACCCCCATGCTCCCCCCCCCTTCTTCTTCTTCTCTTCAGACCCTGGTCGTGACGCCCGCCCCGTGTCAGGTGCCGGCTTCTGGCCCTCGAGCCCAGCACAGGCCTCGCAGCCCGGCCCGGCCGCCCGAGCCTCCTTGGGCCGAGCTCGGCGCCTGGGCCATAAAATGGCGGCGCGGCCTCAGCGCCTGGCCCGCTGCGAGGCCTCGTCGAGGGCGTTCTGCCCCCATCGCGCTGAACCCAGACGGGTTTTTCGTTTGACCCTCCCCCCACCCTTTTTTGTTTGTTTTGTTTTGTTTGAGCATTTGCTTTTTCTCAAAATAAAGCATGGAGGTCAGGTGGGGCAGGGGAGATTTCTAAAAACTCGTAGCACTTGACCTCACAGGCCTGGCCTGGGGTTGTTTGCGAGTGGGCGGTGATGGTGGCTGTACACTGATGGGGTTATCGTGTGGGTGGAGGCTCGTTGTAATTCTGTAGGCTGTATAAGCTTGCCTGGGAAGTGCAGGGTAACAGTGACGTTCATAAGTGAAGGGGAGAACTCTTAAAAGTAAAATCTATGAGATTTTGTCTAGAGAAGCTTAGTGTGCTGTTAAGTGCTAGAGTACAGATTTTTGGAGGTGTTGAATGGTGAAAGCATGTAACTATCCTTACCAAGCAGCAGTATAGGGCATTGCTTAGGTATTCTGGAACTTCCATGTTGCATCAAGTCATGCAAAAATAGAAATAATGGTGCCTTTTATCCTTCAGCTCCTGGAGCATGACAGAAGCAGCTGAGAACCTAATTGTGACTGTGGAAATAAATGACTGGCAGCAAGTAAACAGAGAAAATGACAGCTGTAATAGTCTGAGGACATAATTTGTAGGTATATAATTAAATGCACATATCACTTTAATAAAAACAAAAGAGCTTCTGCACATGGAAGCAAATGCACATCAGTACTTTTGAAATTAATACCAAAACATAGATTTCTGTTTGATACATATACAGCTTTGTAAAGTTCTTTTGATTTGCTTTGCGTATGTTTGCTCAAAGCAAGAACAGAAGAATCAACAAAGATGTTTAACTTGAAGGGGTGGAACAGAAATGAGGAAGTTTCTTTTCAAAGAGGAAATTAAAAGGAGTTACTTGCAGGCTAAAATGCATGCAAGCGAGGCGGAAATCATCAGAGGCTCTGCGCTTTTGTTTATTTTTTTCAATTCTTCAGAAACTTAGCAAGGTTAAAGAGCGCAGTAACAGCAGCTGTATATACACAAACAAAAAAATCAAGATGTGTTAACCTAAATTTAATAGAGAAGATCTGATAATTTGCTATTGATTTTCACAGCCTTTACAAAAACTTTTTTCAAACTCATCAGAATGAGCAAGTCTGTATGATCAGTAGGTGAAGAGTGTTAGTTAAGGGGAATATGTTGGGAGATAAATCCATAGCTTGCTTCTTTACATCACTAACTCCTGTTGGAAAAAAAAAAATGGAGAGGATCCCCTATCAGAAATATACAGGGGACAATATTATGGAATCTAGTGAAATCCAAGTGCTGCTGAATTAACAAAAAAAAAAAAAAAAAAGATTGATCAGGTCATATTCCTCCAAATTGCTGATCTGCTACAAATAGCATGTGACCAGTTGCATAAATTCATCTCAGAATCGGGAATGGAAAGAAATAACTGGCTTAAGTTTAATTCTGGGGAATCTGTAGTGAACTTCAGGCTAAAATGTATGCTCCCTATACCAAGGAAGCTGAAAATGCAGTAAACACAACTTCTAGACACTAATTACCTGCCTGTGGAGATAAGCCATAATATTAAACTGGGAAAAAGCAAACTCAGCTTTCTCAAAAGCATTTATCTCACAAATCACGTATTTTTTTTTGCAAGAGTCAATAACTAGGTATATAGGGCAGAACCTAGTTAATATAGCTGATTGTATATGTAACATATGGGAATATCCAAAAAGCTTTCAAAATGCTTTGTTCAAGGTCTTATAAGGAAAAAAGATAAACTGATAAGATTTAGAAAAAGTAATTAAATCTCTTTGTTGATCTGCAGTTAAAAGGCAAAAACTGTATGAATAAATAGACAATTTTCATAACAAAGTTCAATACACTTAGACGTGATGTAAAGGTGTTTAATAAGGGCCTTATGTTTTAAATACACTACCCAATATGTCAACGGTTGAAGCTGGCTGAGCAGTGTCTGAGAGTTTTCATGTTACTGACCAAGTGAAAATACGCCAGGTGAAGAGTGGATAAAAAGTAGTATATGTGAAGAAGGAACAGCTGTTACTATTCACTAGGTTACTTTTGAGGAAGAGATTGTGGAAATACCTAGTACTAATCTAAGAAAAAACAACAATAAAATAATAAAAAAAAACCACAATCATTAGGAAATAATACATGCTGGATTGAAAACATCATTATGCCTTCCTATGTAAGTCTGTATGGAGGCCCAGATCTTGCATACTGTGTGCACTTCTTGTCACTAAAGTGGCAAGGTTTATCAGAAGTGTGGAATTGCTTTTAAAGGAGAAAAAAATTAGACTGCAGTTTTGGCTTATAAATGAGGTGACATAGAAGATATTAATATACAGAAATTGTATAAATAATTCAATAGAAAATAATTATTCACTGTTTAATAACTTTGTTTTGTATTCCCTTGTTGTTATCTGGCAACATATCGAAAACGAAAGGAAATATTTTCCAGGTAGCGTATGATTAAACTTTGAAACATGTCGTCATGGTATGTTAGAAGCTAGCATGAATAGAACAAAAACGGGAGGGAACATACGTAACTGTTAGATAGTGATTTTTGTCTCAGAAGAGCCTTAAGGCATGGATTGTGAGCAGGTGGGAGGATACACCCGGGAGGGCTGTTACAGCATTTCCGACCTTGTGTTGTGTTTGTTTGCCTTGGCCACTGCTGGGAGCAGCGGCGGGCAACATGGCTGCTTCGGGTTGGGGTTCGAGCTGCATCTTTTGTGCTCCAAGCCACAGGTGGCAAGGCACCGGAGCCCCCAGCCAAGCAGGGCAGGGCAGCAGCACCGCAGCCGCCTCAGGTATTTTCTGCTCGTTACCCCCGCGCTAAGCAGCCTTGTCCTTCAGTGTCTCAGTAGCCACGCTCCTCGTGACCTTCGAACCGCCTTCCTGTGGCATCAGGCGATCAGAAGGGAGTTACCGTTTCCAAGCCCGTGTGTTTATGACTTTTAATGACTTAGGCAGCGCCCCGCGTGTACCCGCACAGGCCGCTGGCGGAGCGCAGCCCCTCGGCTCCCCCCTCCCCTCAGGCCGCCCCCAGCGGCTCTGCGCACGCGCAGCCCCTCGCGCGCTTCTCGGGGCGGTGACGGCGGCGCTGGCCACGCCCCCGAGGGGAGGGGAACTTCCGGCCGGCAGCGCCGAAGCCGGTCAGTCGGCCGGGCCGCGGCCACGCCCACAGGGGAGGGGGGCGGGTACTGCGGCCGGCCGGGGCCGCTTACATAACAGCAGGGGCGGGTTCTGCGCCTGCGTCACGCGGGGGCTCCCGGCAGCCTTTGCGGCGGCCGCTATATAACCGGCATCCGGGCGGCGAGGCGCCCCACAGTCAGTGGCCCCCCGACGACGGCGCAGGATCCTGCCGTGCCCCTCGGCCGCCCTCTGTAGTCACCGGGACCGCCTCGCCCACCGCCACCATCGCCATGCCCGGGTATTCCAGCGACAGGGACAGAGGGTGAGTCCGGGGGCCCGGCCGGCGCTAGCCGCCGCCAGCGTCCGGACTCTTGAGCCCGACCGCGGGGGGGTTGGCTGCGAAGACGCCTAAAATGGCGGCGAGCCCCGGGGGCTGGGCCCCGCAGCCCTTCCCCTCAGCTCTTTCCGCCTCGAAGTTTCTGGAGCTTCGCAGCGGGCGGCCGGGGGAGGGGGAGCGGCTCCAGGAGCCCCCGAGCGGCGCTGGGGGCGGGCTCCGTGCGCGGCTTGCCGCGGGGCTCGCTCCGGGCGCGTACCGGGGGGGGGGGGCGCCCCCTGGGGGGCCCGAGGCCCTTCGGGGACGTTCCCCCAGCACGGGCGGGCCCCGCCGGGCTCCGTTCCGCACGCCACCCCCCCCGTTGGGGGGGGGGCGGTCGAGGTTTGTGGGTCAGTGGGTTGGCCGGGCGCTCCGCCGACGGCGGGGGCTCGGGGAGCCGTGGGTAGGGCGGTTCCCGCTTCCTCCCTGCCTCCCCTCATGGGGGACGGCGGCTCTGGCGGCCGCTGGCAGAAGCCGGCCGGCTCCCGCTTTGTGTTGTGTAAGCGGATGTTAATGGCCGGCCCCGCCATGCGGTGACTGAGGGGAAATCAAAATGCCGGCTGCTGCTGCTGCCGCCTTTGTTCCTCCTCCTCCTCCTCCCCCCGCCCAGCTCCGACTCTAAAATGGCAGCGGCTGGAAAATGTGGCGTAGACAGAAATGAGAGACAAAGGAAACAGCGCTGGCAGGAAGCAGCGGCCACTCAGCCCGGTCCCCTCTGGGAGCGCTGTGTAGTGTGGAGGGATCGCTCCCAGTTCGTAAAAATTGGGGAGCCGTCGGGGCAGGGGAGGGAGTCCCGTGCTTAGATCTGGTTTAGCGCTCCTCAGCATGCGGCTTTGCTTCGCATCGAGCCTCAGGGATGCCAGAACAGGCTTTCGAGACGAGCCTTTTCAGAACAGAGGGGCCTGACCTAAAATGTAAACAGAAGATGTGTGGTCTCGTGAAGTTTGCTTACAGAGAGAAGTCTGTACTTTAAAATACATTGAAAAAACGCTTATGGTGAAGTTGTTCGGAGGTTTTATAACAGACCCTGCCCACTTTCTGCAGGCTGATACAATAGGAGTGTCACTTGGGTAGGAAACCATTTTGATCATGGAGTAATACAGACGTGTTAACGTTCTTACTTTGCAACTTGCAAGTAGGCCTTGTAGCTTCATCTTAAGAAAACTGCAGGGTAATGTGTTACCATAGCTTTTTGACTAGAAAGATAAGCAAATGATGGCATCCACAACTTTAATGTGTTTTGGAAGTTTAAGTATCATG